CGGCGGCGCCGCGGCGGCTCCCGGAAGTGTCCGCCCGCGGTTTCGGTTTCCTTCCTCAGATCTGCGCTCCCCGCCCGGGCGGGCAGGCTCGCTGGACAGGGTGGGCTCGCAGCGCCCCGCCGAGCCAGAAGTTGAACAGCTCGAAAAAAACCACGCCCGCGCCGCGGCCCCCCCACGCCGCGCCGGAGAGCAGCTCCCCAGAGGGTCGGTCGGAACACGCTCCCACCCCTTCAGCCTCTGTGACACCTAAACGCGCAGAATGAATCCGCTCTAAATCCTGTTGCAGTAGCAAGGCTTTATTTAGCACCCATGGGGTACAGAGCACCAGACAAGACGAGGTTCTCAGAGCATGCAGCGAATGTACATGTAGACAACATAAATGCATATAATTAAACTAATTTTGAAAGATTAACCGGGCGCGGTGTCGCACGCCGTAATCCCGGTATTTAGGGAGAGCGAGGCAAGAGGATCCCAAGTCTGAGTTTTGCCTGGACAATTTAGCGAGACCCTGTTTTAGAAAAAGAACTGAAAGAAAGAAGCAAGGGAGGAAAGAAAGGAGGGAGGGGGAAAGTGAAGGGAAAAGTTCCATAAAAGCAGTATATAATGGTTTGTTCAGGAACTAATCTAAGGAAAACTTCTGAAGGTCTTGTACTTTGAGGAGGGTCTATAAGGCGGAAACGGAAGTTGGAGGTATCAGAAAAAAAACAAAAAACAAAAAACTACACAAACCCAAGCACCTTAGTCTTCTCCAGTTTTAAAATGGATTAAGGACTAGAAGTTGCAAGAAAGGAAATAAGCAGACCCTGGCATACAGATTTTCTTCCAGGTAGGACGGAAGAGTACTCTACAGGACAAAAAGAAAGCCCTGAATACACTTAACAGTACGGAATTTCTCAACAAAACAGCTCAGGTAGGTCATGGTAAAGCAGCCGAAGGGCCCTTGCGCCTGCTCTGAAGTGTAAGTAAATGACCAATAACTAATTCTGAGGAAAATCTGTAACATGAAAAATAAAGACCAAAGCAAACATACAAGGAAAATGAACTAGAACAGTGAATATAGCAGGAAAGAAACAACTATGAGTCCATGTACACAGTGGTATCTTGGTTTACAAACTTGATTTGTTTTACATTTTGGGGGAAGACGACCATGGTGGTGTTTATCACCAGACGCAGAGTGGAAGCAAAATTCTGCAGAAGGCTTTTGTTTCAGAACCAAAAGGTCTGTATTACTGTATGAACATATATGTATAAACACACACACACACACACACACACACACAATCTTCAGAGAGACTGAATATTATAACCATGGGCCAAAATTGAATGCTTTTAAAGAATAAATTGAAAGAAAAGCACTTAGCTATTAAGGTAAGACCAGGAAAATAAAATGCAATACATGAATTTGAAGGTTAAGTTGAAGAAAATTTCCAGAAAGAACAGCAGGAAGACAGCTGGAAATTAAAAGGAAATGAGAACCAGTCTTGCAAGAATAACATTTAGGTAACAGGAACCCCAGAGTCTTGATGAGAAACCCTTATAAAAACAGCCCAAGAAAATTTTCCTGTACTGAAGGATGAAAGTTGTCAGAGTGAAAGCTCTCACCAGAAACCCAAGACAGAGATAATCCTATAAACTAATTTTTTTGCACATAAATCCCAAAGTTGGGGTGTGTGTGTGTGTGTGTGTGTGTGTGTGTGTGGTGCTGGGGAATGAACCACAGCTTCATGTTTACTAAGCAAACAATCTCCCCAATTTTTTTTTTTTTTTTTGAGACAAGGTCTCACTATGTAGTATAGGCTGGCCTTGAACTTGCTTGTGTAGCCCAGGTGGCCTCAAATTTACAATGATTCTCCTGCCTCTGCTCCAGAGTGCTGGGATTACAGGCGTGTGCCACCACACTTGGCTGTGTGCCAAATATTTTAACATCTGTTGGAGCAGTTAACCTTTTTTCATGAAACAGTGTCCCATCAACTACTTGAGTGGGGCAAAGCAGCAGCTCTTGAGCCAATTTCTATCACACTTTTTGAGATGAATTTTGCTTTAGTTTCTCCTTCAATACAAGGAACAGAAACCTGAAGGAACACTAAAAACAACTGAATAATTGTGACCTTCAGTTTTCTAAACATATAATGTACAAATAAGTTATTAATTATACAGTCGGATTTCATATAAAATATACACTTCCATTCTACTCAGGTGAAGTTGAACAGTAAAAACAAGAGATACCTGATGTGTCTGAAAATGTCCTTATTTTGTTCTTGGCATTTCTATACCACACAAACAAAATCAGAAAATATGAATCCTTGAACAGGGAGAACACAGGAATTACCTTGGTGGACACCAACCTAAATTCTACTGATAACTGAGGGTTCCTTTGTATGGCTCTCATCTCAGCCTAAAACACTAATTTCAACACAGGCTTTGGGAACACAGCTATAGTAATTTTTTTCTACACTTATTAGTCCCACATCGGCAGACGATTTCCTTGTTAGGCACAGTCCCAGCTTCATAACCGTAATCCCATGTTAGTTCCGTTCTTGCTTTCACGTAACTAGAAAATAGAAATTAAAAACAATCACAAATTACTCTAAATAACTACACCCAAGTCACACTTGAATATGACAATTTCATGTTACCATCTTTAACCATCCTAAAAATATGACCTGTTCTCTCTCCATGACACCCACCAGTTAGGATTAAGAATAATCATGTGAGTTTTATTCCAAATCTACCTGAGTCCTAAAAAGGAAGGATCCTGCTAGTATCTTTAAGGAAGCGTGCTGTACAAATGTGAAACTCGACCACGGAAGCGGATGGGGGATGGTCCTGGCTTAAAGATACAGCAGACTTTTTGTGACTTACATCCTAAACCGAACCGGGTAATATCTTCAGCTCTTTCAGAAAATAAATTCTAAGTAAGAGTAAAAATGGAACTCTTAAAGTGTTCAAAATTTTATTTGTTTGTTTGGATTTTTTGTCTTTCTGAGACAGGCTTTCACTATGCAGGTCAGGATGGCCTTGAACTCAACTTGTGTAGCCAAGGCTGGCATCGAACTCACAGCAATCCTGCTGCCTCAGCCTCCTGAGTACTGGGATTAAGGTGTGTGCCACCACACCCGGCAAAATTTTATGGACTAGGAACAGTTTAGGCTAACTGAGTACTGTATTCTAGGGTACCAGATATTTGAAACTATACTACACGTCCTCCCCTCCTGCCTTTTTTTTTTCCTTTTTCCCAGTAGTGGGGATTGAACCCAAGGATTTCACACTGAGCTATACATCCCCAGGCATTATTATTTTTAAAGTCGTGATTTCAGAATTAATCCATATAAGCAAAATTATTCAAACCTGTTGGTGAAGAACGCCACCAATGGGAAATTCCTGTCGTGTGTTTCTACAAAAACATTCTGTACCCAGAGATTTGGACAACAACTATGCTGTAAAACAATTAAATAGAGGTTAGATATAGGATAAAATTCGATACCTTATACTTTACAGCATTAGAATACCATTCTGTTTCTAACACATTTCACTGCTTTTTGTTTTGTTTTTGTGCTAATATATACAAAACTACAGCTCATGACAGTTCTGTTAACACAGCAATAGTCTACTCGAAAAGCTCTGCTCCGATTTTGCTTGTTTGCTTTTTGTTTTTGAGGCAGGGTCTTACTATGTAATTCAGGCTGGCCTCAAACTCTCAGCCATCTTCCTGCCTCATTCTCCCACGTGTTGGGATTGCAGGTGTGTGCCGCCGCACAGAGCTCAGAAAAGCTGTTCTGAGACTTTGATATCTTGCTGGCAGAATTGCAAAATAGCACCAAAAGCTGGAGCTAATTTGTCAGTATTTATCATTATTATAAATGCATTTATTTTTTGATTCACTAGTCCCATACTCAGGAATGCATTCTACAGATTCACATGCATATGTACCTACAATTTATTCATAGAGCATTGGTTTTAACAGGAAAAGTTTGTATATAACTCAGTATATGCCAACAGAGGACTGCTTACATAAACCAGTATATTTACAATGGAATTCTGTGCAACTATAAAATAGGACATACAAACAAAGAATGAAGTGCTCTCTCACTGACATGTAAAGCTCTCCAGGACATACTGTTAATTTAAAAAATAAAATAAATGTAGGACGGTTAATGTAATATGCTGTTTTTATGAAAAAAAATGATAAACACATATATTTACTTTGCAGAAATACTAGAATACACAAGAAAGTCATACAAGTAGAGTGGGGACAGGGTTGATGAGGGAATGGTACTTCTCATGATAGGGCTTTTAAATTATTTTTTTAAACAACAGTTTTCACAAAGTCTGTTTTCTTTTTTTTTTTTTTTGGATGCAGGGCTGGGGGGGGCAAGGTTTCTCTATATAGTTTAGACTGGTCTTGAATTTACCGTGTAGCCCAAGCTGGCCTTGAACACTTGGTGATCTACTTGTCTCAGCCTCCCAGGTGCTGGGACAAAGGTGTGTACCACCATGCCAGGCCCCCCAAAATACGAGGAATACACACCATACTGATGTATGCCTGTAATTCTAGCACTCTGAGAGGCTGAGGCAAGAGGATCACAAATTTGAGCCCAGCTTGGACAAACTGGTGAGATCCTGTCTCAAAATAAGAAATAAAAAAGGACTGGAGACACAGCTCAGTACAAAGGCCCTGTGTTCAATACCCAGTACTACAAAACAAACAAAACAAAACAAAACACACACTCACTCTTTCTTCAATTTTTTTTTTTCTCCCTTCAATTTTTACATCCTACTATAAGACAAGACCTCTGGAAAGGAGACCTGTAAACAAATGATTCCTTTGCTGAACACAGCCATTATTTATACTGATGATACTCTTTCCTCACATTACCACCATTCCAACATTCTGACACTGTTCAGTTACGTACTAGCTGCCACCTCAAAATACTCACCTGTCACAAGTCTCATTAAGATGACAAGTCTGCCATTATTTAATTTCAACGATTTCTTCCTGACCATACATTTTTTTCAACTTGGGCAAGCAGGCTTCAAAACTTTTTAATATACTTACATACTTTTCTTACACTATCATTTCTTAGAATTTTTTTTTTAAAGCAAATGTTTACTAGTCAATCTCAATCACTTTATATTAATTTGTTCCTTATAACATCCTAAACCATTATTATTCCTAAATTATAGAGGTATTAAATGAAGCATTAGCAGTTAAAAAACATTCCGGACACACAACTTGAAGACTGCAACCCTAACCTAGGTTCTGGCTTTCGAATCCATTAATCGTATTTTCCTCATGACATTTTTATCATAAACTTTTTTGTTTTGTTTTGTTTTTCCTGGTACCAGGAATCTAACTCTGGACCTTGCACTTGCCAGGCAGGCCCTTATGCCACTGAGCTATATCCCCAACCCCCTCATGACATTTTTTTTTTTTTTGGTTTTTCTCCGGTACCGGGAACCGAACTCACGACCTTGCGCTTGCCAGGCAGGCGCTTTTGCCGCTGAGCTAAATCCCCAGCCCCTGCTCATGACATTTTTAAGTAAGCACAGGGAAAAAGTTGTTAAGAAATATCAATCTCAGCACCTATACTCACATTAAGGAAGCGGCCCACATTTCCTTCTTTTGTGGCATCCAATAAAAACACAACCCCTTTACTGGACTTCACTGGAGAAGCAGATGAAGTATTCTTGGTTTCACTTAGCAACTCGCCATCAGACAAGGCCTGCTGCTTTTGATGTGCTGGAGATTCCTCTTCTTGGGGCATTTTTATTTGAACCTCAAAATGTTTTGTAGTATTTTCATGGTCAAACATGGTTGCTGGCTTACATCTGTCCCCTGGTGGAGTTTCTTCTCTACATTTAGTTATATCTATCACATCTGATTCATGCAGCTGATTGTCTTCAGAATCTCCAACTTGGTTTGAACTTGATTCCTCTGATAGACATTGTCAGGAAGGAATTGTCAGGAAATATATACAACTGAACAACCGTGCTGAGATTAATACTAATTAGATGCTTGTCGCTTTAATTATCACTAATCTTTACAATTTATTAAGGTGGGTAGTATTTCCTCAATTTTACACAGAAAAAAATCTGAGTCTCTGAGAGTTAAACAGGTTTGTCTGACCTCTAATACAAGAACAGGGGAAACAAACCCAAACTGGATCATAAAGTGCCCTCTCTCTATATATAATACTACATAGCAGTATTGTTTTTTAACAGATATAGAGGCTGCTTCCTCATTACTATATTTAATCTCTAATCTTAACAAACTGACTTTCTTCAACTCTGAAATTTGCATCTAATTATATTCTAAACAGATGCAACAAAGTGGGGATTTAGGAGGCAGTTTAGGCCTCTGTGATGCCCAGGAAAGGCCCGAGAAGACTGTTCATCTACAAATCTCTCTACAGATCTCTGTAACAACAGCTGTGCTGTGAGGTGCCTCTATATGTTCATGTTTGGTGTTTTGCTAGGTAATCACTTAATAAGTATATTTTAATAAACAATAATACTTCAAAAGTAGATGAAGTGCTTAAATTATTTTTCTTGCCCAATGAATGTCACATGGGATAATGAAACCATTAAAAGCTACTTGTGTCACCTGATGCAGGGGCACAGAGAAATTGTATTTTAGCTAAAAAGGTAATCTCACAGGAGCTAGAGCAGAATATGGTTAGCAGAGACTGAGAAGGGCATGGGGGAAGTGGGTGGAAAGAGGATGGTTAACAAGTGCATGGGTGCGGCTGGGCACGAGGAATAACTTCAATGTTCTCTCTATATAGTAGAGTAACTTCCAAAGTCCTGATGTTCCATAATGTTCTATATACAGTACAGGAGGTTAGCTATAGTTGGCAAAAATTAGTCATAATACTTTTAAATAGCTAGCAGAGAAAATTTTAAATGCTGCCAATATAAAGAAATGATAAATGTCTCGACTTAAATATACCAATTACCCTGATCTGATCATGACACATTGTATGCTGTACCAAATGTCACACTGTACACCATAAATATATGTAACTATTATGTGTCAATTAAAAATTTAAAAACTATTAAAAAGGAAATCTTTAAGATTCTTGATTTACTCAGTACTGTTGTGGCTGTTATTTCTACAGTACTTGTATCTTAGTCAAGGCTTACTTGTAAGCCATACTAGTTATATAATTAGAATACTGGACTGTCTGCTACATGCACTGTAGTTGTCAATGAAAATGGCAGAAGAACCAAAAGCAACTTATTATGGCTCACATAGATTAAACGGTGAAATACATATAATGAAGAAGATGCCCTTTCTTTATGCAATTTTCTACCAGGAAGCTGCCATGGCTCTCCCAGTCTCTATTGTTTAGTACTAGGTGGGGAGCTAAGGTTGCAGATGTAAGGGGGCTCAAAGGAAAAAGCAGCAGCAATGATTAGATCTTCAACAAAGGGGCATCCCTTACCAATGTCTCTCTGCTGAGGGAGCCACTGAAATGCGAAAGTATCACAAAGCAGGCTTTTCCCCATTTGTACCATTCAGTATGGCAGGGGACTGGCAACTGAAAGACAAGTACTCAGGGTACTAACATTTTAACCCTTCACTAGTCATGCGCATCCTCTCAGTGGTGGTATCTGGACTACTGCAAAAGAGTAATCTGTTTTTATTTTTAAAAGAGTTCAAAATAAGAGAAAGTAGCTGCTTTGGAAAGTGCCTCCAAAGCCATAGACAGTATATATGCATCAAACAGAATCAGAGAAGCTCCATATATCAGGCTAAAAGGTCCACAATCTTCTGCAAAGGGCCAAAGAGCAAACATTTCAGGCCTTGCTACTATGTAGTCTCTTTTGTAAGTATTCTGCTCAGTTGATACAGTATAAAGGTAGAAGTAATATGCAAATAAATGACTGTGGCTGTGTTCCAATAAAACTTTATTTATAGCCACTGAAACTGTTAATTTCATTTAATTTTCAAGTGTCATGAAATATTATTCCCCTGGTCTTTTCTCAATTATTTAAAAATCATTCCTTTACGGGCCATACTTAGCAGGTGGCAGCCTAGATTTGGCTCACAAACCTTAGTTTACCTCTCTGATCTGAACAAACTGTAACTTTTGTGACAAATGTTTGTTATGAAATCTGAGAAGAGCCACAACCTGGAACAAGAGTGACAAGCAAGCAGAAGAGGCAGGCAATCACAAAGTGGAACAAAGCCTACTTTGTTTTCTCTTGGCTTTACAATTCAGAAATCCACTGTCTTCTCCTGAGGTGTCAGAATCCAAGGAAATAAGTTCCTTAAAAAGAAGTAAAACAGAGATTTTTACTTTCTAGATCAGGAAAAGGTATTTAGCAGTTAGGTCTCTTTCATCAAGTGTCACTGTTCATAGTCTATTATGACAGATTAGTTTTGAAAAGCATCAAAGCTAAGTTCATAAGGAGTCTATCTTTTACTTTTCTCTCCTTGCTGAGACAAAATACCCAACACCCAAAATTAAGGAAGAAAAGGTTTAGTTAGCTCAGTTTTCCTCCCTTATTTTGTAAGGCTATCCCGCCTCGCCCTTGTAGCACTCACACCATCTCTCTGCCCTCCTCTTGCACAGGATGAGGATGTTTACAAAGTAAGGACTCTGGCTCCCTGCTGAACAATTTAAACAGCCTAACCATTCCAAACAATACAAAAACTCCTATGCGCTATTAGGTAACATGAACATTTTGAACTGAGTAAAGAAAAGCTCTCAGAAGAGCCTCCATCTACATTTTGTGATTTTTACCGTCTTTTTTCCATTCTGTTGAAAAATGGCTGTCTTGGATTTAGGACTTCTAATAACTGAATGATACCGAATTCTTGAAATACTGTTATACTTCATTTCTCTGTAAACAACAACAAAAAGTTATTTGGTATAGTGGTATAATTCCCTTTATTGAACCATAAAATTAGAGGCAACATTACCATTAAATATATATCATTAGAAGTTAATTTATGTAAAAACAACTATGCTTACTGCTCATTACAGAAAGATACGTAATTATAGTTCAAAGCCAGTCATTTTTGAGGCATATTAAAGAAAAGTAAAGGGAACCTATAAAAACTTTGGAAATAGAATGGTAATATTAAATAAAAAGAAAGCAAAACATAGCATCCATAAAAAGTAAGTATCCTGGATTTCTCAAAGTGTGAAGTTTACAACATTTGAAGCAAGATGATATATAGGAGTGGGAGGTGAGGAGTTATAGGAAAAAGAAAGAACCACTCGATGTGTAATTTAGATTTGACTCTAACTGGGTTCCTAAGCTCTTAACTTACATTACAGGCTCTTCTGGATCATTACTAAACTTAAGTGGACAGTCCGCAGTTTCAGCACTTCTAGGGTATGTTTCCAAATCTAATGGGATAACTTCAGCCTCACAATTTGAATATGCAACTTCTATTTTCCTCTTTTTTGAAAATGTATTTTTCATAATATTCTCTTCTTTTCTATTTTCATCAGTAGCATTAGGTTTCTTAGGGTTAGTCCTGTTCATCAATCTTCCTAAAAGAAAAAAAAAAAGAGTCTGACCAAGACTGAAGATAATATAACTACTAACAACAATTGGACATCTGTTTCTGCCCCATGATTAAAGGACCCTATGCTGTGTGTACCTTACTTCTAGAATGCAAATCAACAATTCACTTATCCTAGAAAACTGTTTAAATCCCAAACAAACAAACCCCAACACACCAATTAGAGATCCTACTTCCATCCATTAAAAAAAACTGAGTATTTTTTAAAAACTGAGTATTTGAAAGAAGCATTTATCCACTTTGATATAGCATAAAACAGGAATTTGAGTACAGCAGTAATATAAATTTTAAAAAGGGTCAGAAAGTATTCTAACAGGTATACAATAGTCTTAAAATTGCAGCTTTTGTGTCTAGTTAAAAGACTCTATTACTTGAAACTAACACCTCTTTAGAAAAATGACCATTTTGTTTTGTTTTTGAGACAGTCTTGCTATGTAGTGCTTATGTAGGCCAAGTCTGGCCTCGAACTCACAGCGAACCACCTGCCTCAGCCTCTCAAGTGCATGCGCCACCACGCCAGGCCAAGTATGACCTATTTCTAACAGTGGTGATAAATACCTATTGTTCTCATATCAAGTCCTGCATAACATTACAATCTTAGCCTGAAGTTCATGCATTCTCCCTTAAGGAATTCAAAATTACAGATACCAACTCAGAATTAGCAGCTAGATATTCTTATCTATCCTTAGTAGATCAGAGAAATGTCTTAGGTACACTTTCTAGGAATGCAGATACCGCCAATGTTACTTCCTGGACACCACTGGCATTTTACAGGCAGCTTCCATTCATGAGTTGTTTTGAGAAATATGAGATGTGAATGTCTAGGTACACTGTGCAGTATACGTACACACAGGTGGTGAGTAGCAGAGATCCAAGTCTGACTACTATGAATCCTGGTAATTCTGTGAGCTGCGTCTTGCTCTCTCTGGACTGAACCTAGAATTTCAGATGAGCAAGTTGGTAGAGTCCCTGCTTATCATCTGCCAAGACTCCACCCAGCATATTTCCTTTAGACAGGCTTTAAAGCCATGTTTCCCAACCTTTCTCACATCGTAGGAAGAAACGGATTTTCTTATATCACAGACACAAGGATTTTCTGCCTGACCTGGTGAAGTGAATGGATGATACAACTGGAGAACAACATGGAAGTGTGGCCCAAAAGAATCAATAGATGCACAATTGTAGCCCACTGCTTAGGAATGAGCATGGGTAACAACTGGAGTCCTCAAAATGAAGTGAGTCACCTAAAGGCATGTAAAGGCCTGAACCATCATAGGCAGATATTTATTTAAAAACTGTTATCTAGGCACTGTGGCACACACCTGTAATCCCAGAACTCTGGGAGACTGAGGCATGAAGATCACAAGTTCAAGTCCAGCCTGGCAATTTAGAGAGACCCTGCCTCAAAATAAAAAATAAAAAAGGGCTAGGGATGCAAAAGCCCTGGGTTCAATTCCCCATACCACCACCAAAAAAAAGAAAGTTATTCTAACGATAGCTCAAAACATTAAACAGGAATCTTTGATAATCTTTACCTTAGCAAGTCTGTCATTTACTTATTTAAAAAAAGATTTTCTTCCTTGGCTCTAAAATTTCTGCAGCCCTGGAGACAAAAATGCGCCTTGTACATTAACAAGGCTTCATGTAATAACTGCAGTTTGCTTTCCTTTCTGTCACCTCTGGTCCCTCCTAAGCATCTCATCTCTTCAGGACTCAAGTACCATCACTTGCCTCCTTTGCTGCTTCTCCAAGATCCTACTGCTCCTACCTTTCTGTAAGATCTCAATATCCCCAGCTAGGAAAATGTATATTCACACATGTGTATCTTACTGAAGAGTAATTAGAAAATAAACCGTTGTTTTACCTGAATAAATGCAAACAAATGTTCCCTGATCAATATCATCTAGGCAGCGTACACCCCATCCTTTCTTCTCGGTTTTGAACACCTGTAGTCTGACTTGAGGACCATGTTGGACAACTCGGTTTTGACACATTCGTCGATTACACTTGCACAACAGGCTACACTCATAAATGCTGTCATTTAAATAATGCAAAAGAGAAAATCAGACATCCCAACAGAGCAAGCACCAGTCTATACTGTTATTTCATTGGCACAGATAATTACTGACAGAAGTAGTAACACAGTAACACAGTAACTACTTCACAAGGACAGACTATGAAAGCAACTAAGCCAATATTTACAAAGTTCCTGAGATAATGCCTGGTACATAGTAAATATCAGCTCTTTTAAAATGTTTAGGAAGGAAACGTCTAAAAGGAAAATTTCTGTATTTCTGTTTCTAAAAGTGCTATTTGGTAATAACAACTTTGTTGTTTTGGTACTGGGAAGCAAACTCAGAACCTTGCACTTGCCAAGGCAGGCACTTGTGCTGCTGAGCCATCTCCCTGGCCCTCGGTAATATCAGCTTTGAAAGGTTAACCATTACTAAGTCTCAGGTGAACACTGAGCAGTATATTTCTTAATGGGGAAATGGATGTCCAAAGTAGGCCAACCCTATAGGGAGAGGTAAGAACTAGACTTAAAGCAGGCAAGTCTTGGAGTATTTCCTGCACTGTACACATATGTGGTCTCTTGGTTCCATTTCCAAGATAATATACTGGGAATTTTTTGTATTATTATTATTCCTTAATAATTTTCAGTATTAGAACACCCATCAGACTGTAGACAATAAAAGTAACCCCATCTTTCCAGATACAAATATCGGGCAGTTAATCTTCAAGGTATCTTACCCAGTTGGTATCTGTCTCTGTAGCCTTTTATAACGGTATCCAGTAGTAACTTTACTACTTGACAAGGGAGAGGTTTTGGCATTCCTTGCTGTCAGCTGAAGACATGCACATTTTGTTCTAAAAGGAAGGCAATAGAGAAATCAGTTTTTAAAATTTCAGTTAATTGATAAATGTGTAAATGATGTAATAACATTTAGAATAGCTGTTTGGTTTATGGACTGTATGGAAACTTCTTCCCTAACAGAATGGGCCTCTTCGAAAGACAAAAATCTACCAAAAGTTTGTAAATAATTATATATTGCATTGCACTTTATTTGCTCCTGAAATAAACACTTTAACTACATGAGATTTCTTTATTCAAAATGAATTATTTTCATTTCTCCCCTTTTTTGTCGTTATCGTTTTTGTCTTCCATTTTTTGAGGCAGGATCTTGCCATATACTTCAGGGTGGCCTTGAACTCTTGGTGATCCTCCTCCCTCTCTTCCTGAGTGCCGAGATGATAGGCATGCACCACCATCACACATGCCTAATTATTTTCCTTTCGTATTCAGGAGAACCTTGTGAATGTTCTCCTAGTTCTGCTCTTCTACAGTGGATACACAAAAGCATAGTTTTATAGATGTCCTTAGTTCTCTTTCACTCCAGGAATAAGAAAATAGACTGGAGAGATTGATGCTAGGTATCTGGCTACTAAAATTTTTTCAGTTTGTTGCCAGATACTTGTAATTATAAAATTACATCTACGTATTTTTTGCTCTAACTATTCAGATGATTTTTTAACTTGACTGGGACTCGTACCCCATAGAAAGTAGGGAATCTGGATATGCCAGTTATTAATGAGATATGTTACTATTGGTGAGCTGGTTAAAATCTCTGGATCTTTATCTCCTTGGCTGAACAAGTCACTTTACACTCTTCTCTATGAGTCTCTTCTGTGTTTCCTATATGTACATAGCACATCAGAGCGACGGCTGCTGTTCGCAACAGAAGAAAAAACCAACCAATACATTAACTTGTATTCTGTTTACAGATGTAAAAAATCTATAGGGGCTCCTACAATGAATGTAACGATGTACAGCAAACACATACTAGTAAAAATTAAAAATCTACAATTACTTTCTTTTTTGGGGGGTCTTTTTGAGGCAAGGTCTTGCTATGCAGTTCAGGCTGGCCTTGAGCTCACTCTGTAGCCCAAACTGGTCTCAAACTCGCAAGGATCCTCCTGTCCGATCAGCATTTCGAGTGCTGGGATTACATAGGTGTGCGCTACCACGCCTGGTCTTATAATTGCTTTTTTATGCCATTATTTGTAAAGTTGAAAAGTACTTTAACACAAATAGTATAACAAACATCCTTATTTTTTCCACCACTCAGCTAGTGGTCAGCATTTTGTCTAGTCCATTTTTTTTGCTACATATATACTATCTCTAGGAATATTTTTTTTAAAAAAGCATCTCAATCCAGAAAGAATGGCTATTATCAAATCAACCAGTAACAAATGCTAGGGCTGGGGATATAGCTCAGCGGCACAAGCGCCTACCTGGCAAGCGGAAGATCCTGAGTTCGATTCCCGGTACCAAAACAAAACAAAACAAAAAACAGACAACGTAACAAATGCTGGAGGGGCTGCAGGAGAAAAGGAACACTTGGCCATTGTTGGTGGGAGTGCAGACTGGTGCAACCACTATGGAAATTCCTGAAAAAACTACGATTAGAAGTCCCATTTGACCCAGCTATTCCCCTTCTGGGTATCTTCCTGGAAGAATTAAAAACATCATATCACAGTGATATATGTGCACCCATGTTTATAGCAGCATATTTTGTAATAGCTAAATCAGGGAAACAACCCAAATGTCCATCAAACAAGGTATGGATAAAGTTGATGTTCTGGTTTTTTTTTTAATATAGTGGAGTACTACTGGGCCATAAAGAAGGATAATTTGGAGGCATTTCTAGATAAATGGATGCAACTTGAGATCATACTCTTTAAGTGAAAGAAATCAGACTCATATGTATAAACACTGCATGATTTCCCTGGTATGAGAAACTGAAAGAGTAAATAAGGACCAAAATGTACAACAGATACTGTGAAATGGGAAGAAATTGTTCAAAAGGAGAGAACTAGGGTGGGGAAAGGAAGGAAAGGAAGTCCCAGTTAGCAAAAAAAATGGACTAGAAAAGAGGAAAAAAAGATTTAAAAAAAAGGATAAAACAGAAACAAAGCTTTGTAAATAGGGAGGTAAAGGTGGGTTGATGTGGGGGGACTGGGAAAAACAAATCAAAATGTATCATGTACAGGTACAAATTCCCTATGATGAATATGTTCATTATGTATACCTAAAATGTGCCAATACACTTAACTATATGTTAAAAAATCAATATTTATTGATATTACCAATATAAAAAAATCACTAGCGATAAAACTGAAGATGTGGCACCCTTCATACTTTATAAATATTCCAACAACTTACTGTTTTCCTTGTGTATCAGCACTATACAACTTGCTTTTTGTTCAAGGTAATGTTTTTCTTCATCCCCTAGTTTCTTGACACAGGATCCTGCTATGCAGTCCAGGCTGGCCCCGACCTCCTCATCCTCCAGCCTCAACCTCCCAAGGGCTGGGATTACAGATCTGCACCACCACACCTCACTCAATATAATGTTTCTGAGACTCATGAATGAAATATATACATATGGTTAATTCCTTCTCAACTTCCCTCAGCTTTCAGCTCCTGCCTACTTGGTTCACAGCTGAGCTGCTCACAGGTTTCCAGTGTAATAATGCTGTAGTGAACGTCATCATAATTATTAAGCACGTGTGTAAACAATTTGAAGGGACTGGCTTTCAAATATTTTTTACTATGACCCACAGTAAAAAAAATTTTCTTCATGATTTTTTCTTTTGCTTAATACAGGTAGCTGATTCTGCATTAAATATAGGATACATTTAATGCAACTTCGTATCTGTGTACTCTGCAAGTACATATTAGAACATGGTTTAATTTTTTAATGGAATGTTGAGAATATTAATTGTAAATATCGTTAACTCTCTAGAAAGTTAGCCAAGAAATGATTTTCAAATAAAAATAAAATACAATATGTAACAGTGTTTAAGAACAAAAGTTTGCTGGGTGCAGTGGCACAAGCCTATAGGCCCCAGCAGTTTGGGAGGCTGAGAAAAGGAGGACCACAACTGGAGTCCTGCCTGGGCATCTTAGCGAGATTTTGTCTCCAAAATTTTCTTTTAAATTAAAGAAAAGAGGTGGGAGGAGGCTGTGGGTGTAGCTTAGTGCTAAGCCTCTGGGTTCAACCCTAAGTGCTGCCAAGAAAAAAAAAGGTTTAAGCCAAGTGTACTGTGGCAGAACCCTGTAGTCCCAGTTGCTTATGAGGCTGAGAACTGCTTGAGCCCACCAGCTCAGTAACAGGCTGAGCAACACAGCAACACCCTGTCTGAAAGAAAATAAAATTTTCAAACTGTTTGGTCTATGATGTAGCTGAATTAATTTCTCTAAGCCTCACTTGTAACACAGAAATACTACTACCTACTTCAGGGTTTTGTGATGAAAGAAAATATGCAAAGGAGCCATCATTTACAGACATTTACGGCATCCAGCCCTGTAAAATGGCAATCGCTATTTATGACTATGGTACTAGATTAAAGAAAATATGCATTCTTAGAATACATTTCAAATTACTGTATTTGGTTAAAAGTTTTCTTTCTTATTGCAAGTGAGAGAGCACCTTTCATTTTAGATTCTTACATAAATTAATATACAGTAGGACTTCTTGACAAGTGTCCTTATATTCAGAATAGTTTTTGAAATGTCAGGTTTTTCTACTCACATGTCTATGCAGCCCTCAGAACAGTCACAGGAATCAGTAAACATGTTGGAAAAGTTGTTTAGATAATATGCTGGTGGCCACATAGTCTTTCTGTACTTAAAGTGTGGAAGCTTTCTATCGTCAATTTCATTACAGAAAGAAATGGGTACTAATTCCACTCCATTGCTAATATCCACATCAGAAACAATTTCTTCTTTCTTTTGGTAATTCCGAGTCAACTGAACAAAGGTGTTAAAAGAAAAGTTATCTGTAAATAAAAAATTACACTCTGTCTCAAGCAGGTAACGAAAGACTTCCTTCATGTTCCGCAGACTTCTTCCACAAGGAGCTTTGTAACTCACATGAAGTTCTGAAGACTGAGTGTTTGTCTTTGCATGTCGTCTCTGGAAGTGACATGTGACTGGCAGCTGCAGAGGGTTTTCTGCCTTGATGGTTGATGGCATTTTCATCAGACAGGCACCAGAACAATCATGACTTTGGTAAGATAAATTCATCGGTGATTTTTTTCCTCTATAGTCTACAACTTTATTAGCCAGAGGGAGAATTTTCTTATTTTCTATAGTTCTGTTAAAACAGATTATTTATTAGTATCTCATTTATCTAGTTCAATTCCATATTTTAAAAACATTGCACACTACAATGATAAAATTAAATATTACTATTTCCATGGACAACAGTAAAATAAACCAGACTCTGAAATAAACATTTTAATATGTTCTGCCACCATTTAAATATTATGTATATTTAATTTCATAATACTCCAGGAAAGTATAAGGCTAGATCTAACTTTCAATGGGGTACTTAAGTGCACCTAAAATATTGAGAGTTTGCACTCAATAAAGAGCTGAAACTGGGGTAAGGATGAAGAAGATACTTTTCCAGGCATGCTTTGTTCAAGCTTTTTGCTTGGAAAAACCAGTAAAGATTTGCTAAAAAACTATTATTAATTTAATTAAATTATTAATCCTGGGGCTGGGGATTTAGCTCAGCGGCAAAACGCCTGCCTGGCAAGCGCAAGGTCGTGAGTTCGGTTCCTGGTACCGGAGAAAAACCAAAAAAAAAAAAAAAAAGAAAGAAAAAAAAAGAAATAAATTATTAATCCTTTTACCTTGTTTGTTTGCATCTAACAATTGTACTAACTGATTGTTTTTCCGTAACATGTAATTCACTTAGCAATCACGTCAACACATCTGAAAATGACAGTGAACTGACAGGCAAAAATGGGATGCCTACTGATTTTAAGAAAAAATAATTTGTGAAACAAGTCCGTGTTTGGAACTCAGCCTTTAAACTTCCACAAAGAACTTGAGTTTTGTTTTACTTTTTCTCTTTGAGTGTCTGTTATGTATTATATATATGTTTTAACATTTAAAAATATATTTTTTAAAGCAGTGCTGTCCAATAGAACTATTTCCATTGGTGGCAAAGGTATATGCCCATACTATCCAATAGCCAAAAAGTCCATGTAGCTACAAAACACTTTGAATGTGGCTAGTGTGACTAAAAAATTGAACTTTAAGTTTTAATTTTGATTAGTTTAAATTTAAATAACCACATGCGGCCAGTGGCTACTATATTGGATGTGCAGATATGGAACTTTTCATGCTTTTTTCCCACCTGCACAGTAATCCTTTGAATAATTTCTGAAGTTTATTTAACTTATTATGTGACAAATAACTTTGTATACAGCAATTTCATACATGTAAACATATTTCTACAAAATACACTCCAAAAATGTGATCTGAAATAAATGCATTAATAATTTTACTAATATGCTCAAACTATTCTCAATGAATCAGTTTCTTCAGCAATATATAAGCATGCCTACTCTTACAGAGCTTCATCAATCAAGTAGGTCATCATGCATTTTGTTTCCAGATAGTCTAATAGGTGAAATGATGTATTACATTTATAAGCTCAATGTTCGAAATGTTCAATTCAGTTTCTTATGGTACTACTCTAATGCACATTGAGCATTCATATATATAAACACCTATATCTATCCATCCTTGACTAAATTCCTGATCTTACCATAGGACACCTTCCTTTAAGAGGAATTACCACTGCTTCAGGAATACACATTTTAAAAAACCAACTTGTTATTAATAAAACTTCCAAACATATACCGAGACTAAACTTTTCTCAGAGATTATACCACACCCCCACAAAGCTAGAACCAAAGAATATTGGCAAATAATGACTGTTTAATCCTTTGCTTTAAAATATAAACAAACTCTAGCATGATTTTTAGCAAACCAAGGCCATGTCCATAAGATGCCCTACCCTCTTCCTTAAAATGCCTGCCTGAGAAAGCTCAAGCCAGTATTGAACTGTTCAAGCCAACACTGACCAGAGGCAGATACACTGTTGACCTTATTTTCCTTTCTGGAGCATTTACTAAAAAAGGTGTACAATGGTGACTATTCTTCCCTCTCTCTCAGATTTCCACGAATTTCCTACAAGTCAGTGTGACCTTCTCAAAGATGTGAAACTCAAGCCTTTGAAATGTAATTAACAGGAAGGAGAAGGTCTCTATCTCCCCATGTCTGTAGAAAGATGAAATTCTGACTTTCCTGAGAATGTCAATAGCCAGCTAGTGGACACAGCTGGCCTAAAGGCTTCATAACCTTGTATTTTCCACTTGGGCTCCACAGTGTTCCCGCTTTGTACGCTTTCATAATTCCTTTAGAAAGTCTACTTACCTCTGATAAATGAGATTGGAGCTCAGCTTTCCCCTGTGTCAGTAGTTCGTGAATAAAATCTTCATTCACTGCCTTACCTAAATGTGGCATTATTTGCCAACAGTGTTAACCCACTAACTTTACTGATGCTTGTTACAAAGTTTCAATAATTAGCCACATTTTACCTATTTTAGTTCATCTGTTCTCTCTTGCCCCACCCTGAAACACATACCCACTTTGGGGGGGGGGCAGCATTTTAAAACAAATTCCAGACATCACATCTCTTTACCTGATATGATTATTATCGTTTTTTTTGTGGCACCAGGGATCAAACTCAGGACCTGGTTTGTGCTTGCCAGACAGGCGCTTGTTCCACTGAGCTACATCCCCGGCCCCGATTATATATTTCTAACAGGTATATATAAATAATATAATGCAGTATTATACATATAATCTTATATATAAAATTATATATATTAAAAAAAATATATAGAATCTCGATGGTCCACCTTTACATTTCCTAAAATCCAGTCAAGCTGCTTATTTGGCTCAAGTCCCACATTTGGTTCCAATGTCTTTTCTATCTCTTTGATCTCATTAGCAATGTGCCATCCTCCCTTTTCATCTTATGAAATTTACTTGCTGAATTTTAATTTTCATTTGTCCTGTAACATTTCCTTCATTCTGGAATTTGGCTGATGCCTTTCTGTAGTGATGACACAACTCATTTCTCTATCCCCAGTATCCCTGTCAACTTGGTAGTCAGTTCTAGAAACTTAATTAGAGTCAGTAAAAGTTGCGTGGGGGGGAATACTACACAGGTAGTTTGTGCATTTATTGTGAATCACAGCACGGGGCATGAAGTGTGTTTCACTTTCAATACTTGAAAGACTGGAAAGTAGGTTTGGATATTTTCAGCCAAACCTATCCATTTTAAAGTTCCTCATACATATTTTCCTTATTGGTTTTGGTATTCACTTATTATCATTGCCTAAGCCAGTGCTACTCAAGCTGTGCTAGTGCCATTCCTTCATGGTACTTAATCTGTAAATGAAAAACTAAAAGTGCAGAAATTTTTACAGCAATGCGGAAACACTGTATTGCACTTTATGAGTATTGCTCCTCTATAAAATACAAGTTTACAACAAAAGAAGACACGTTTCATCACAGTTAGTTTGGTAGCACTGTCCTAAGGCCACTGTTGGAGGTGGATGAGTGGATGGAGTATTGGGAGATGAGAGGTTTTGAAAATAAAATCTTCTAACTCGTTCATTTTCTTATTGAATTTTCTAGCCTGCAATTCTTTTACAAAGAAGGAATTTTTCTTACTTAACTCTTGGATAATCCTGACATACAATTAATATAAAAAGCATTATAAATGCCTTAGATGTACTCTGTCTTAGTATTCATAATAATGTGTTACGTGTGTGTGTTACTGAACCAACAGAGTATTCAACTACTATATATCCTAACCTTTTTTGTTTTTTTTGAGTCAGGGTCTCCCTCTGTTGCCCATGCTGGGCTTGGACATGTGATCTTCTTGTCTCAGCCTGCAGAGTAGTTGGGCCTTATAGCTGAATGCTACTTTTCCCCCAAAGTGATTATTCTTAAAAACTTATTGTTACTACAAATGAATGAATTTCTGTATTTTAAATACTTAAATAATTATTCTCTTTAGGTTCTAATTGTACCAATTTTGGCCAGTGGGAGGTTCCTTAAATTTGTTCCTCTATCTTTCCTAACACCACCCCTAGATTTTCATAGCTTCTGTTGTAACACATGCCAGGTCTAGAACCAGACATTGCTCTGGGAGCCATGGTTCCACTTAGTAAGAAATGACAAGTAATGATCATAATCATAATGTTAGGAAGGACACACCTTTTCTTTTATTTTGAGTCTTTTTTTTTTTGAGACAGGGCCTCACTTTGTAGTACAGGCTGGCCTTGACCTTGTGATCCTCCGGCTGGGATCCTCCCCAGTGCTGGTATCACAGGTATGTGCCACCACACCCATCTAGTACACACATGTTAATCAATATTGCTTCACAAATGCTTTCTTAAAAGGTTGGACTAATTTATACTTTCAATCTGATACATTACAAATACTGTTTTATTTTTTAAAATGTTTTTGTTGTAGTCCTTGGGGTTGAACCCAGGCCTACTGCTTGCTATCACTGAGCTACATCTGCAGCCCATCAAAGATTTCTTGAGTGGTGCTAACTAACATCATAGGTACAATGGAAATGATAATGAAATCTCCATAACCTTAAGGAGCTTATATTCTAGGTAACTAATTATTTACAATAGAGTATAAATAATGTTATGAATAAAACTGTGACATATACTATGGAAACAAATGAAAAGACATGTAACCTTTATTATTATTCTGGCTTTTTAGGGTTCTAATGATACAGCTTTTCTGCGGTCTGAGAGTCCAGTGTTATCCAGAATTTGTTTGATGTACCATGAAGATCTAACTTAAAACTTCCTTTTGATACCCAATTGTTCAGATCATGTTTGTTTGTTTTTGTTTTTTGAGACAGGGTCTTGCTATGTAGTTCAGGCTGGCCTTGAATTTAACTATGGGGTCCAGGCTGGTCTCAATCTCACGCCAATCCTGCCTCAACTTCCTGAGTGCTGGGATTACAAGTGTGAGGCACTGCACTCGCCAGATCATTTTTGAATGAGTGCTGTCTTTTACTTTCTACTATTGATTAACTTAGTCATATCCCATATTTTTTATTTTGAGAAAGGGTCTTGCTAAATTGCCCAGGCTGGGCTTGAGTTCGATTCTCCTACATCAGCCTCCCAGAGTGCTGGGATTATAGGCATGTGTCCCATGCCAAAAATGTTCACGAAAACATTGAACGCCAATAATGTACTCTCATTTTCTGGCCTCATTCTGCCTCTTGACCAAATTAATTCTGTGCCAATGTAATAGTTTTTAAAGGTAGAAAAGATTATCTACAAATGTACTTAACACATTTTATAATCATATTTTCTTTGGTATCCTACTGTAATGGCTAGAATTCTAGGAAGGGAAGGATGGAAAGAAGGAAAATTTTATTTCTAAAAGTTGGTATTAACATTTTTAAGATGTCTTCTGGCAGCTGCTAAGCTTTTTCCTTATGTTTCCTTTGTAAAATAGATTTCCTACACTGCCATTTTGTAAGTACTGTCTTCTCCAACTTTAAATTCTTATTTTGACTTATCTCTGAGTCTATAACAGGGTATCAGAGAAAGTTTTCTGGAACAACATGTGGATAATATAGTTTCCGAGCTTTTGTAGAAGTTGAATTTCAGCTTAGCTGTGTCGTTATTTTTGTTAGTTTTTGAGTTGACACTCTGAAGATATTTGTATGTTAGCAATGATACTAAAATTGTATTTAAATATTTTTTTGTTAAACTGGGTATGATGGCACAAGCCTGTAATTCTAGCACTCTAGAATGCTGAGGCAGGAGGATTGCTGAGTTTGAACCAAGCTTTGGCAACTCAGCAAGATCCTTGTTAAAACTAAAAAAAAGTCTAGGGAAGTAGCTCAGTGCAAAGGCCTTGGTTAAATCCTCGGTACTACCCCCCAAAACTGTCTACTAGTAATTTTCAATACTGTGGTAATTTTACCTCCAGAGTTCTCTAGTCTTCTTTACTCAGAAGTTATTTTCTTTGATCATGGCTTCTATTTGACTTATTCTAAGTTCTGGTGTTCTTGTTTGCTTTTAGTTCAGAATAACCATAGCAGATTTTCATACAATCACTACTTCTATAGCATGGGTTTATACTGATTATTTTTTAAATATGCTGAAAAGATCTATACTTCATATTTATATAAAAACCAACTCAGAAATGGAAAATATATTTTGTTAATTTTCTAGGTGCTAATGCAATTGAGTCTTAATTTAGAAATCATTCTTGAGCTATGGGAACCACAACATCAGCTCCGAGTTTACCATATCTGAAGTTCTTATGTGTTCAGGATAACCCTAAAAATATTTCAGTAGTAGCCACTGGACTTAGTGACTTTACATTATATTTTTAAAAAGAATATTAGTTATTCACAGTGCTCTTAATTTTTTTACCCACTGGCCCTTTTCTTAGATATTTTGGATATTCTTATTAATCCCAGGTTATACATGTTCCCCACTGGTGGTACAAATGGATCTAATCTCTTTAATCAGTCTTTTTACTAATAAAGTTAATAAAAAGTCTACAAATGGACTGAATCTAGTTAGTTGCTTGAATTTTATTACTGCTCAAATATAAAACTAATATAATTCATATGAATAAAAATTATTACAATAATTAATAATTTAAGAGAAATTTATATTCAAGAATAGTTTATCAGTAATTCTCTAAATTTTAACATGGAAATCCTACAAGTACCCTGCTGCTGGTATATATAATATGCATTTACAAGTGCTGTGCCACAAATTAGCTGTATTACAATTTTTTATACCATTTCAATGTTTTCCTCAACAAACTATAATATGATGAAATCTGGTTTGCTAAAATCAATGCCTTTCTTTGCATTATTATAATAATTATTATTTTTTAAAAAGCAATGTGTAAGGGAAAAAAAGGAGAAGGGTTAAACCCCTGGGAAGGAAGCAGCAAAGCTCAGATCCCAGTGCGGTGGCCCCGGCCGTTGAGTCTACTGGCCCGTCTGCCGTGCCACTGATGGCTCTGTGCCCCACATGCAGCCTCCCTGCAGCCCGGCTGCCCCAAGCCTCTGCCTGCATTACTGTAATTAAAGATCTCCTGATAAGTGGTACCAGCTACTCAAAAGAGTCATACATACCACCAGTTCAAGCCACCTGACGGGACAGTTAGAGCAAATCAGAGCTGCCTGGCGGCAAGACATAGGAATTACAGTTCCATCATGAAAGTATCAACCTCCTTAAAAGGTGACTTTCATAGAGTCCTTTTTAAAGAAAGTTGAAACCATCTAGACATCCACCCATAAAGGAGCAGATAAATAAAATGTAGTGTTTTTAATTATAAAAGAATAAAACTAGAGTTAAACAAAAAGAAATAGCTCTAAATATAGCAGAATGATTGGATCTCAAAACCAATGCTGACTGAAGTAAGAAAGCACATGTATGTCTATTTAAGTAAAATTAAAAGACTACAACAGGGAAACAGATTCTGTAATGCACCTTTTGTTCTACTCTCCTGTTTAATGCCCATCTTCATTAGCCCAGCCCACTTTAGTAATTACTTTTATTCTTTCATTTATTTTCGTATCCAACATTTCCTTAATTTTAAAGCCAGTATCTGACTACTTGTTCCGCACTATTAGCTGCCAACTTCCTTTTTACTGTTTTTCCCTGCCTATAAAGCATTATAGTATACAGTGAACTCTGAGCACTTCTGTTTGTCTTTCTGAGATCTACCATGTTTTGGTTTCATTTCGTTCAGAATTCACTGTAATAAATTCTCTTAGACTCCCCTAGCATTGTTCTTTCTTTTGATACAGGCTACTCACTTTCAAGTTAGTAGTGTTGTATGTAAAACAGTAAACAAATGTCTCATTCCCCTTTTCAACCTGACTTCATGAATTATGTTTTACATCAGATTTTGCGCCATTCTTTTTTCCATATATCATTACTTGATTTCCTCCATTTCAGCTATGACTTCTTTGGCTTCCTGTTTTGCTTTTTGGAGGAAAGGGAACATGAAATATTAATGTAGCTCACCCTAACTAGTCATTAATTTTAGTGTACTCAAAGATATTGATCTCTTCAAAGTTTTTTTAAAAAGAGCATCAAATATAAGACTGAGAATTTAAAAAGCCAATACTAGGTGTTGAGTCAACAGGTAGGTGAGTAAAGTCCACATTAAGAGAATTTTCCTTTTTCATAAAGTTCTGATAAATTCTGATAATGTTATGGAATACTATATACTATAGCAGAGTTTTAAGGACAGCTTTGTAAAAGAAAACATAACTACACCGGGCATGGTGGTGCCCTCCTATAATCTGTGCCTGTAATTGCTGTAAGTCTGAGGTCAGCCTGGGTTACACAGTGAGTTCAAGGCCAGCCTGCACTACATAGTGTGACTCTGACTCAAAACAAAGAAGGAAGGAAAGAAAGAAAGCAAGAAAGGGAGGAAAAAAGAAAGAGAAAGAAAAAATGTTAAGTGGAACAATACAAGAGGAAATAAACTCATAGTTTATCCAACAGTTCTTTCTGAACAGTAATGAAGTGCTTGCTTGCTTTGGCAGCACATATACTGAAGAATAATGAAAAGAGGTCTCTGACCTTGTGAGTCTGTCTTTGGACATACCCCATTCAGTACTGGCTGCAGGGACAATAAAGGCAAGTAAGCTTGTTGGGCATGCTGTTGCAAACCTATAATCCCAGTTACCCAGGAGGCCACCTTGGGTAACTTTGCAAAACCCTCTTAAGAAAGGGCTGAGGATGCAGCTCGGTGGTAGAGCTGTTTACAGAACAGTGATACCTCTGGGTTTAATCCTCAGTACCATAAACAAAAGAAGAACAAATACAACAAAAACTACCAAAAAAAGAGGAAGCTTACTTACAGGATGATAAGCTAGAAAAGACAGAAAACATTACACATAAAAGATCTGCAATTCAGAAAGACTCTGCTAGCTACACAATGAAATTAAACCAAAAAGAGATGCTTATACTTAGATTTAAAACACAATTATCTAAACTTAAGATGGGGGAGAGCTTACTGGGTAGAAATTTATTAGAAAAAGAATCTTATATTTTAGTGATTTAAAGTGGTTTCATCTGTATAAAAAAAATGCAATTTTACACTGTACATTAGGAAGTGCTCAGAATTTCTAAGAAAAAAGTTGTCATGAGCTACTGAAATGGGCAATAAGGGTAGGGTTCAAATGTATGATCCCCCTGCCTCAGCCTCTTATATCTCTAAGTGCTGGGATTACAAGTACAGTTCAATTTTTATAACTCCCTTATTTCAAGAATTTTTTAGAGAGTCATTTTAATACTTAGTTGAAAGGACAAATAAAATTAAAGGAACAACATAACATTAATTCTAAAGATGCTATTGTGTTTTTCAGAACTATCTGCTTTGGCAGAAAAGACTTTCAAGCAATTTTCCTTTAATTAGTAGTTGAATGTTTTGGTGCACGTATTACTTACTAAAAATAAAGTGTCAGAAGGTCAGAGTTGTTGTTATACAATTCTCCTTTATGCTAAGGAATGTTTAATGAAATTAGAGGTAAATGATGAAAGGGAAGTCAGGAAATACCTCGAATCACTAACGCTTATGTTTACAAACAAATTGGTTCAGAAACAAGTATTTATTTTGCTTCAATTCGCAAACTCTGCATAGAGTGACAAACATGACCCTGGCACCCTGCCCACACAAATATAAATGCACCCATCTTCCCCCATATTGTAAAACAAATTAAGTTTGTAAACTGAGGTACCACTGTATTATAAAATGTCTTACTTACCTAGGGATATTAAATAAATAATCTATTAAGGGACTCATGAACCTTTATCCTATATAAAATACTAAACTTTATAAGTGGTAAAGCTTTAATGGGAAAAAAAAATTTACATTTTATCTAATGTCAAATGATTTTGAAAGATTAAATCTCTTCAGAGCAAAAGCATTAACATAAATATGTATATACATACAGAAATGTACGGTCTTTTGGAAAGAAGTCTTCATATGATGTAGAAGGAAATGCATTTAACTTGTTTTCCTGTTCATTGTGAGTCACACATATATGATCTACATGGAAAAAAATACAACTGTGAGTAACAAATGTACCAAGTTAAGCACCATTCACTAAAATATCTAAATACTATCTTCTAGAAATTCTGCCTACAGGAAATCCTAAAATTTGCAAACATATTAAGATTTCAGTGTACAGCCAGAAGATTAGGTGACAGTATTTTCAAAAACATTAATAATGACTAGGATAAATTGAAATGCATATAAGAGACTGTCACTAGGAAACCTATAGTTTGGTCTGAATGTTATCTAAATTTTAACCAACCTTAAGGTGAACATCAGGTATCCCTCTTTCTGCTTATATTCTGCAGAAAAGTATCGTAGTTTTTCAAGCCTTATACAAGGTCAGAAAATAACGAGTGTATCTTTTGTTTGCTCTTTGTTCTATAACCATCCATTTTTGAAGGAGGAATCTGAGGTGTCTGGTTAGTTCTTTTCATCTATTTTTCATGTCTTATTTCCTTATATTATCTTTTACACAACCCTTCCATTATTCCCCTCTTCTCTTTGTTCTTTTTTACAGGACCTGGTATCAAACCAAGGGTCTTGCCCATGCTAGGCTTGCATTCTACTTTTTTCTTGTTTTTATACTGTACTTCAAATATTCTTACCCTCTAACATATCTATAACATAGAAATAAACTGGTGTACTTAAAGAAAAAATTATGGCTTATAGGAATATTCTGTTTGACTTAAAACTTCTTTTAATGTGTACAAATGGGTTTCAAGGAAAGAAGTGATTCTTATCCTGCCTTATTATATGGCTTTTTTTGTTTGTTTGTTTGACTTTTTGAGACAGGGTCTCACTATGTGGTTCAGACTGGCCTTGAACTCACTATGTAGCCCAAGCTAGCCTCAAACTCACAACGATCCTCTTGCCTCAGCCTTCTGAGTGCTGGGATTACAGGAGTGCATCACCACATCCGGCTATATTGCTGTTAAAAAAATGTTTTTTTCAATGCTACTTATTGAAACATATAAAGCAGACTTCATTCAGTTCTACTTTCATAGGTACAGAGATATTCCAGTAAGGGAGAGAGACTGGACTCAAATTGAAACAGCATGAGCAAGTGGCAATTCATAGTCAAAGAGCAGGTTGGTGGTTAATGGATGAAAAATGGCTAGGAGGAAATATAAAGGATGAAGGGGAATCTAGCTAACCAACCTAACAGGATTGCTGTTGTAGAGAACACTCAGACAATCACCAGGAAGATGGGGTGAGGCGGGGGATAAGGAACCCGATCAGATATTTATCAAATATTGAGTGTGAAGGGGTTCTTGCTAAAATTGGATTTTTCAAGGAGGTACTTCGATGGACCCAGGAGGAAGTTCAGAAGCCTCACTAAAATCTGGTCAAGCAAAGTGCTTTAGTTTTACTAAAAACAACAGCAATAAAAGTTTAATGAAGAATATTTGAAATTATAACCCAAGACTACTGGCTCATTGAAAAGCAACTATTCCCCCTTAATTACCTAGATAAAGAAGGTTTAAAATCTTATGGTTGAAGAAAACTGTAATAATTACAAGAAATTATGTAACTAAGAATTCCTGACTTTTTCTCAGGTAATTTCTTTGCCAAAGTCATAGAAAATTTATATTAGCAAATATGCACAAAACAAATAGAGTTGGAAATAGGATTTATGGAAAAAAATGAATATTTAAAATTATACAACAGGAAGGAGAAATAATTCCTACCAAGAAAAAAGTATCCAACCTTGTATGGGGACACAGCAAGTATTTACAGTTATAACTAAGTGAGGTAAATAAAGGTAATCAGTGGTTTGATGAGAGTCTGGGGAGTGCAGGCTGGTTCCCAGAGGGCTTGCTTTGACCTCACACCAAGTCCCTTTTTTTCTTCAGGTTTTTTTTTTTTTTTTGTCTTTTCGATACAGGGTTTAACTGTGCAGTTCAGGCTGGCCTTGAACTCAGTGATCCTCCTACCTCAGCCTTCACAGTGCTGGGATTACAGGCAATGCGCCACCACGCCCGGCTTTTTCCTCAGTTTTAGTATTCTTTTAAAAATAAATGCTGCCGGGCGCGGTGGCGCATGCCTATAATCCCAGCACTCAGGAGGCTGAGGCAGGAGGATCGCTGTGAGTTCGAGACCAGCCTGGGCTACAAAGTGAGCTCAAGGCCAGCCTGAACTGCAGAGTGAGACCCTGTCTCAAAAAGGCCAAAAAAAAAAAAAAAAAAAAGCTAGTGTGAAAGTTTATTACACGTTTTTAATCTTTGTACTTGCTAACACAATGTCAATTACTAATTACTTAAAAACTGGCAATTATTCTTTTGATAAGTTAATTTCAGATGAACAAACTATATGAAAACAAAATCATAATATTTAGCATTTCTATTAATGAAATTACTTTAAGAGTCCCAAAACAAAAACCCAATTTACTTTTAGTGGTAAATATGCTCACTTGGGCAGCACATACAATTTTAGTGGTAAATAAGTTGTTTCACAAAGCAAAGTGTTGCTTACAATTAGTTCCTTGTTACCACTGCCTGCATTTAAAAGTCTGTCTGGGGAAACCTGTATAATCCCTTAAACGTGTGTTCATTCTGAAGGGGCCCAGATGTGTCACAGTAGCACAAGCATTATTCTGAGCTCACATATATTAACACTCAACAAATGCAGGAAAAAGACTTCCTCCAAACTCTTCTAAACTACCTAAAAGCAGGTCCTTAGAAACAAAATGCAAAACACTAAACATACAAAAATCTCAAACCTAACTGTTATAAATCTCTTCCTCTAGGAGTTTCAAATAGGAAAAACTGACTTATCACAGGTAAGCCAAGAAGTTGGCACCATATCCAGGCACTGTCACAAACTATCACTCCTCCCGTCTATTCCCTTCAGGACCCAGTCAGCTTTCCAAAGTCATCTGTACTATCCTAACTGCCTCTTTTTCCCAAGCCCCCTCTTCTAAAAGTCATTTGTTCTTCTACAAGTGCCTTTGCTCCTACTTTTCAGCTATTAGGAGGGTGTAATAAGTAACCTCTCAAATCTCAGCAGTGCTTTGGGTATTCACTATTTTACGATTCTCCTGTGCACATAAAGTGAAAAGTGAATTAACGTGTATGCCTTTTCCCTGTTAATTTGTCTCTTGTCAGTTTAATTCACAGGCCCCCAATGCTAGCCACTGAGATACAGATTTCACCCCACACAATTCCAGATTTTACTGAAGGATACTGTAAAAGGGAGGATATTTTTTTTCAAGAACATATTCTTCTGAAATTATATTTACTGAAATCGAGAAAACTTTTAACGAACAAAATGTTTCTTTAAAATAGACTGATGATGCTAGACTATATTGCAGAGACTTAAAAGCTGTAAGGCTCCAAATTATGGCAGTAAAATAAAAACTAAAATCTTTTGCCAATATCCAACTGTATTAATTAAAATCTGTACTGTCTCAATAGGAGCAAATCTGTGATAGACTAAGATTTATGGAATTTTGATTCTGATAAAATAACTTCAAATTTTCCAGTCTTATTAAAAATAATAACAAGTATGTCTGCCCTGCCCCAGTTTCAAGCACAGTACCTAAAACACTGTACTTTCCTAAGTGATGAGGAGCATCTACTACTATAGTATTTGGTCTTACTTCCTAGTTCCTGAGCCAAGAGCTCCTAAGACCCTTGGAATCTCCAGAGTGGTGTCTGTCTTTAGTACAGTAATGCAGTAACTGGTGACACGGTCCTTGGGATGGTGGCTCATCATTGGAAAGACCAAAGCACAATCACAGGAGTGGAACTTTTAGCCCTCACCACTTCTGTCCCTCATCTCCAGGAAGAGGACAGGGGCAGGCAACTGATTCAATGATTCAGTCATTTGCGACTATGTAATGAGACCTCAAAAAAAATCCTAAACTATGGGATTCAGAGCACTTTTAGCTGAGTGAAAGCATCCATATGCTGGGAGGGTGACACACACTGGAAAAGCAACAAGTAGAGAAGCTCCTTCACCTACAGGCCTTCAGACTCTGCCCTTCGTTACTTTTCATCTGGCTGTTTATTTATACCCTTTCCACAAACTGCTAATAGTAGGTGAAGTTTTGAGCCTGAGTTCTTTGAGCCATTCTGTAAAATTACTGAACCTGAGAAGGGTGTTGTGGGAACCCCTGATTTGGAGCCCACTGAGAAGTAGCAGAAGCCCAGCGTTTGTGACTGGCATCAGAAGCAGAAGATGAGCCTTAGGGGACTCAGCCCTTAACTTGTGCAGTCAGCACTGAGTAGTTAAATGTCACAATCAGACTAAATTGTAGAACATGAAGGTATCCACAGAAAATCGGAGAATTGCTTGGTATGGTGTCAGAAGTGTTATGAACAGAGAAAGAGTTTTTTAGTGTGTCATCTCTGAACCTTCTAAATTTAGTTTTAGAGCTTGAAAGACCAATGGTCTAAAAAAATAAAAAATAAGCCATCAACATCACTACACAGAATATACCTTTCCAGTAGTGTTCTTCACAGAAAGCAGGGGTTTTTTTAGTGGTAGAATTCAATTTGCATTCTTTATATGAAGAAGACACGTGCATTCCCAATCTCCAGATGGGTAAGATTTTTCATTTAACAGAGGAAACTGACATAGCTTAGCAATGTGGAGCTTACATTTTGTTTCAAATTATAATTAATTAATGGGATATATGAAGGATGGCTTGCTTTGGGGCAAGGAAATATAAGAGAATATTTTAGGACTGGGGTAAGAAATGTACATACGCTTTTTCAATGTTGAATTTTTGCTTAGAGTTGCATCATTCACTAGAATCATTGCTTGGATGTATTCTGTTAAAAAAATAAAAATAAAAAAGAAATGAAAGCAAGTAAAGAAGTTGTCTCAGTCATGAGGTAATACATAATTTTGTTAATATTTTTTATATATGTCAAATATTATACAATGAGCAGATACTGTTTTGGCAACATCCTCATCTTCCCCCGTAAAAAAGACAAAGGTGTTAAAAGAAAAAAGTAGGCTGACAGAAAAAGAAGAAAATCACTAGCTATTACTCACAAATAATCAGATTCATCCACTTTTACAAGATTTCCATGGGCCCAGCCCTTCTCCCTCCTGAGCCCTAATGCATGTTGGTGGCAGTGGTGGGCTTCGGAAGAGGGAGTAAAAGGAACCAAAATGCAACCAGCCTTGAAATGCAGCCAACAGACACCCTGGGCCACTGCTGTGGACAAGGTGGTACCCCTGAGTTCTGGGTCAGGGTCAAATATTACTGACCAGCCAGGCAACACGTCTGGTCCCTGGTGCCCAGGCTAGCACCTGTCTGGAGACCAGGCTCTGGGCTGAGGATGAAGGGAGGAGGAGGGAGGAAGAAACAAAAAATTTAAAAAAAGATATCCATGGATTTGGTAAAAGTAAGTTTTCATAGAAATAGAGCAAAAAAACAGCAAAGAGATTAGGTTTTCAGAAAATGAAGCAATTATTTGACTTTTAAAACAATGCTGTTAAAATTATAGTACTCTATAGCCATATTCAAGATTAAGCTTATTGAAAAGTGTTTTTATTCCTTTATACCTTTATTTGTGGCAGATCCATCTTTGATCTTTTGTTTCAGTGACTGTAGCACATTTTGTACTTTTTCAAATATGAAGTCCACCTTTCCATCATCTTCTAACTCCATCCAGAAACTTTTTGCATCACCTATAATAAAAAAAAATGGTCTAAGAGTTTAACAGAAACAGACTAATTTCCCCAAGGCACGTATTCAGAAAGATCTACTTAATTTTCAGTAAAATCAATATTCAATTTGTCACTTCCCTTGAAGAAAAAAGATTTTAGTCATGTTTCCTTTTAAGAAACTACAAAGAATATGACTGAAGTATCTCCTCTATTTTTCTCTTTTTTTTTTCTCCTCTATTTCTCTTATCTTAAAAAATGTATTATGGTCTGTGGATGTAGTTCAGTGGTAGAATGTTTGGCTCCCATACACAAGAGCCTGAGTTCCATCCCCAGTATCACAAAAACAAAACAACATACACACACCCATATGACTTCAATGACACTACGAAGGAGTTACTTTAATACAGGGTGGTACTGAGGCATATGCATAGTTTTTAAAGTTTCAGAGATATAACCTATGGTAAATATAGAAGTAGACAGTTTCAGAATGAAGTGTCTCAAAGACTACTGATATAACTAAATATCCAAAAGTACTGCTTTCTTTTTTGAGTCCTGGGGATTCAACCTTGGGGTGTTCTACTGAGGTATATCCTCAGCCCTTTTTTCAACTTTTTTGAGACAGTCTTGCTGAGTTTCCCAGACTGTCCTTGAATCTGTGATTCTCCTGCCTCTGCCTCGTGACTGCCTGGGTTCACTGGTACCGGTATGTGCCACCATGCCTGCCAACACTGCTTCTAAAAAAACTCTTATACAAACTTTAATTATATGAAACCAAATAGTGTTTAGTTTTTATATAAAGGAGCCAACATTTCTAATGTCCATCAAGATAAATCTTTTTGCAAGCAACACCATGCACAGCTAACATATTAATACAAATGCTCTCAGAGAATTAATCCTTTCAAGTTGAAAATAAATGAGAAAGGCAACTAAAAATTAAAATTAGCAAAACTTGAACTCACATCCCAAGTTTAAATCTAACAAAAATACATAACGTGCTAAGTACAACTTATAAAATGTTAAAATATATACAATTATTTCAAATTAATAGAGCTTTAAGCAAAAAAGAGATATAATAATTGTATAGGTCAAGGTCACTTGAGAGGGTTGGGGATGATAAAGTGATAAAGTGCTTGCCTAGGAAGGTCAGTTGAGTAGCAGTTAGTAGATTAATGAGAAAAAAAACCTAAATATATATAACTATATAGTTGTCATATATTATATGTATATATCATATACATACATATATACAGAGTACACCAAAAAATGTATACATCAGGGAAAGAAAAGCTTGAATAAATATTTTAACACTAAATTTATTGAGGCATCATGAGATTAAGTTACCTTTGGCCTCTACAGTTACAATAGGTACTCAAAGCGGTAGCCATTAGCTTCCAAGATATTTATTAGTACAGTGAACTGTTAAAGTGTGTATATATTTTTTTGGTGGTCTGTCTCTTTCTCTCTCATATTTTCCTTGATAAACATTAAACCCTGATAAACCTCCAACCCTGCAATAGAGGCAGAATATTCCTAAGAGGCCTGGTTGTTAGAGTCCTAATTCACTCTAAAAGTGCTAGGGAAAGTCATCTTTCCCAAGGGATTCTCCACCTAATTAGGGTTGTGCCACCAAGTAGCCTCAGGAGAGGTGCTGTTTCCCTGTTAACACTGTAGCCTGATGTGTACTACAAGAGATAAAGCCTACTTTTAATTCCTGACAGCATAGCTCAGACAGTTTCAAGATTTGAAACAAATGCAACATGAGAGGGCGGAATGGATGACAAGTGGTGTGTAAGGGGTAGACACAGCTGTGACAGGATGACTTTTATGCATAATGCTAAGCAACTTTACATTTATATGGAAGACTACTCAAGAAGTGCAAGTATCTTATGATGTGATTAGATATGTTTCCTAGAAAGATCACTGTGCCAGAAGTTCTGGCACAAGCCTGTAACCCTAGCACTTTTAGAGGCTGTGACAAGAGGTTCACAAGTTTGAGCCCCACGTGGGCAACTTAGTGAGACTGCCTCAAATATAGTAACAGTAATAATGGGGCTGGGGATGTAGCTCAGTGCAAAAGCCCTAGGTTCAAATGCCAGCACCTCAGGCAAAAACAAAACAACACATTCAGATGGTGGCAGAAGAAGCTAAGAGTGAGTTCCATCTTTCTATCTCAGAGAACCACACAGCCAGTAGTGCTATTCAGTGAGGTACAAAATGAAAGGGACAGATAAGAATTCAAGTGGGGAAGGAAGGAAGGAGACATGGAAGAGAAAAGGAGGCAGGAAAGATGGTATATACACACACACAGAATACTCTTCAGTCATAAAAAGGAAGGAATTCTATCATTTGTGACAATATATGAGTGTAAGTAGGATATTACAGTAAGTGAGCTAGGCCAGGCACAGAAAGGCAGTACTGTATGATAGTATTCATGTGGACCCTAAAAATGCTGATCTCAAAGAAGCTTACAGTAGAATACTGGTTACCAGAGGCTGGGGAGAGTAGGGAGGAGGAACGGATGAGCAAAAGTTGCTGAACATATTCTAACTTACAGTTATGGTGCTCTACTGTATAGTACGTGACTATAGGTAATATACTATACATTTCAAAAAAAGCTACAAGAACATTTTCTGAATGTTTTCACTACAAATATATACATGTAATAAACATTACAGCATACAGTATAAATACATTTTTTTTCAGAAACAAGATCTCACTGTGTAGTTCAGACTGGCCTTGAACTCACTATGCAGTCCAGGCTGGCCTTGAACTTGCAACAATCCTCCTGCCTCAGCCTTCCAAATGCTGGGATGATAGGTATGTGCCAGCATACCCAGGTGAAATACAAACAATTTTTATGTTAATTAAAAATTAACTAGTTGAGCTGGGGTATAGGTCAGTGGTATGAGTCCCTGGGATCCATCCCCAGCACCATACACACAAAACAAAAATTTCAGGCTCATTCAACACTGTCCTGCCTGGAGAAAAACAGTAGTGATACTAAAACACGGCAATGTTTAAAACCATCTTAGAATGCCCATACTACTACCATATTACTAACTTATCATGACAAAAAATACAACAAACTGGGTTTGGTGGTGTGTATCTGCAATCCAGCGCTGAGGAGGCTGAGGCAGAAGGATGACTCCAAGATTGAGGTCAGCCTGGGCTACATAGTGAGTTCAAGGCCAGCCTGAATTGCATATGGAGACTGTCACAAAAAAAGGAAAAACAGATACAACAAAACTGCTTAGTCTTAGAAAATCAATTAATAAAAGAACAACGGCAATATAACTTTTTAAAAAAGAGAGAGGCCATAGCTTGGTGGTAGAGTGCCTGTTGAGCATGCATAGGCCTTGGGTTCCAACACCAACCTCCTGACAACAACAATTAAGAAAGCGAAGTTAACAAAGCAAAATATCAAAACTATCTGTTTTTACAATAAATGAATATAACCAAGCATCCTGTTTCTTGTAAAATCAATACTATTTCAGACTGCTAGGTTTCACATTTGTTCAAGAAAAGAGAACTTGTTGGTGGGTGACAAGATATCACTTTTCATCTCAGTACTATGGGAGACTGGGGCAGAAGGATCACAAGTGTGAACCCAGTCTGTGTAATTTAGGGACTTGGCAAAATAAAAAAGGGCCAAGAATGTAGTTCAGTGTGAAAGCCCTGGGTTCAATCTCTACTACTGTTGGAAGGAAGGAAGGAAAGAAGGAAGGAAGGAAGGAAGGAAGGAAGGAAGGAAGGAAGGAAGGAAAGGAAGGAGGGAGGGAAGGAGGGAAGGAAGAAGGGAGACAGAGACAGAAGAAGAGACAGAGGGAGGGAGGGAGGACAGATGGACAGAGACTTTCATCATCTGCTGTAGCCTGTAGAGATTATTATTACAATGTAAAGAATCTTAGTGTGTTGGGCAAGGGGTATAGCTCAGAAGCAAACCTTGTAGGAGAGGCCCTAGGTTTGATTCTCAGGCCCCCAATACACACAAAGAATTTTAGTTTTTTGTTCCTGATCTTATTTGTATACTACATGCATGCACAGCATTACAAACTAAAATTATATATATAAAATATCACCAGAAGATAAGGAATAAAGGAGCAGGTACTGAAAAACTGACTCATAGACCAGTACTGCCGATACTGCCTCCACAACTAAAGAATACCATCTGATACCAAACTTGCCTTACTTAGCTAAATATGACTATTTACTATAAAACATAACTATATGGCAAGAAGTATAACAGCTCTGTAAATTATATACTTATACTATATGTCCCCCAATCTCACTTGAGACAGTCTTTGTAAAAAGGTCAAATTCCTCAATCATAATGATCCAAATTTATTAGATGAAAATTTACAGAACACTCACAAATGCACTGATAATGACCTCGGTATACAGAAACACTTACGTGTTTGTCTAGGATCTCTCAGGCATCTTTAAGCCTTCGAACAATAACATGTGGTTTATGAATCCCTGAGAGCCCCCAAATCCTTTCAGAGAACACAGAAGGCAAACTATTTTAAAATCTATGTGCAAGTTCCTGGATTCTATGCCAAGAACCACACACACATACTCAAAGTACTACCACTACTACTACTACTACTACTGTTATTACTACTAGTAATAATAATAAATTTGCCTTTTCTGTTTTACAGACATTAACTGACTGTTCAAAAGCACTAGAGAGTAAAACTGATGCCTTAGTATGCACCAATGCAACAGCACCAAACTACCAAGTTACAGTGATTGTTACCACTAATTTCACTTAATGTACTAGATGAAGCAACATAACTTATCATCATTTGTACAGTCATTACAGTACAACGGCCATCTCAAGGAACAAGGAGGGGCTGGGGATTTAGCTCAGCGGCAAAAGCGCCTGCCTGGCAAGTGCAAGGTCGTGAGTTTGGTTCTTGGTACCGGAGAAAAACCAAAAAAAAAAAACAAAACCAAAAAAAAATCAAGGAACAAGGACTTATTGGACCAAACAAGCTAAATTAGCTTTTATTTATTTATTTATTTATTTATTTTTGGTTTTTCTCCGGTACCGGGAACCGAACTCACGACCTTGCGCTTGCCAGGCAGGCGCTTTTTGCCACTGAGCTAAATCCCCAGCCCCTAAATTAGCTTTTAAAACTAGAAACTATTTTTACTCTAAAAATAATGAACCACCTTTTAAATGAGATGAGTAAGAATACTGACAGATATGATTTTTTTATATTGTATGAGGGAACCTGTCAACAATTTACCGAACCACTATTTTGTAAGTGGGCTTCACAAGATGTTGTTAATCACATATATGCAAAAGTCCAAGTGCAAAATAAACCCATGGATTTTAACGTAACCATAAAAACTGATATGAGACCAGGGATATAGCTCCATGGTAGAAGCGCCTGCCTGGCAAGCACAAGGTCCTGAGTTTGATTCAAAGAACAAAAAAAGAAAATTGATATGAGCTCAGATTCCACATTCCAACTAACTTTTAAGGAATGAATATTTGTTGAGTTTTGGAGACATAATAGAAAAGTATCAACAACTGTATGAAAAGCCATTAAAATGCCTTCCTCCTTTTCAAGGTCCTGTGTAAAACTTCACTGTCTATGTATTTCAACCAAGGCAACATAACCCAGTAGTTTGAATGAAAAAGCAAACATGAGAATTTCTCTGCTACTAAGCCAGGTTTTAAGATACTTGTAATGATATAAAACAATACTGTCCTTATTTGAAAAGTTATTTTTCCTACTTTAACATGTTGGATTTGTTCTTTTTTAAAAAATGGGCCAATTACTGTATCTGAAACTTTTTAGTTTCAACTTCTAAAATAGTTAAGTATCAACAGACATTACATAAACAAAAATTCTCTAGTGTTTTCAATACTCTAAAGAGTATAAAATTCCAAGACTTGCCAGGGCTGTAGCTCAGCAGCATAAGCGCTTGTCTGGCAAGCCTCAGGTCATGAGTTCGATTCCCAGTACCCACTCCAAAAAAAGACCAAGACCAAGAAAAGTTTGAGAACCACTGGCCTAGATCATTCCAGTGAAATCAGTGTGATGATCTGTACAGTAACCTGTGTATTACAAGTATACTCTATGGCAGTGAAACGATTCTGTATAATACTGTAATGTTATACATTTGTCAAAACCCATATAACTTTAAAGAATAAAGAATGAACCTTAAGGTACATAAATTTTTAAAAAACAATTTAAGAAGTCAGTAAGGAATGCAGTCTATAAAGAGAATGTAACTATTACAAATGTATAAATGACCTCACTAAAGGGAGGAAAAGGTGCTGACTTGGGAAAGGATAATTCTGAAGATGCTATATGTAGATTAGATTTGAACAATTAAGTAAATGGATGACAGGTAGTGAGAACCAAGTTTCTCACTATTGGAGTGGGAGTTTACAGATAAGCAAGGAAAGGAGACTAAAATGATCCATGTAGCAATGGACTAGAGTTGGAAACATCATATAAATTCCAACTGAGTTTGATATGGATTGTCACACTTACAAATATTTATAAGTATGTCCATTTATACAAGTTACAAACAAATACTTCCCTGCTCTGTCAGGTGAGAGGGTCTATAAGCAAGAGACCCATTAAGACCCTGTTGCCCAGATCTTGGTTTCTAATAAAAGGAACCAGAGCTTATTCAAGAAATGGTTGATTCAAAAACTGGTATAAGAAACACAACATGAGCCTTGAGTATCTTCTAGTATTAGAAAACAGTTAGAAAATAAAAAACAAGTAAGAAAAACCTACACTGATGTATACCTACATTACCAAGCGTGTACCCTTGATGTGATGCGATGAAATGGCACTTTACCTCTGTAACCTTACTCCTCAAAACTCATACTGATGGGAGTGTGTCAAAGGGACACAAAAGCCACCTTAAATAGCTCCCAATGGCCAAGCCGGGGGCAATTTAAGCAACAAAATCAGGAAAGTAGTATTGGATTGTAATGCAAAGTATAAAACACATATCCACTGATGTAAATATATCTACTGACACAAATATATAAATGAACAGATAACTGAAGAGAGACAAATCTCTCTTGCAGGAGAATTCTAAATAATTCATATAGATATCCTGCTCTCAAGGAGGGGAAGTACTTCTTAAGTATGGGGTGCACATAATTTACTTCCAAAGGGTACAGTAAGAAATAGGAGAAAATAAAAAGAAGTAACTTTACAGTGGAGAAAACTGTTAACACAACCTACATAAACCAGGTGATAAAAGTTTAGTATGATGTGATGAAACTGGCATTTTACTTTTGTGATCTTACTCCTCAAAACCCACAACCCCAGTCTAGTCATGAGAAAATCACACACTAATTCCAATAGAGGGGTATCCCACAAAATACCTGGATACAAAATCCCATAGAATCAGTAAGAGTCAAGGAGGCGTAAGAAGTAAATGTAATGTAATATTCTGGATAGAATCCTGGAATAAAGTATTATGTAAGCACTAATAAACCATAGATGTTCGTTAATAATGTATCAGTATGGGTTTGTACATTTAAAATGTACCATCTAAATGTAAGATGTTAGTCACAGGTGAAGCTGAGTGCTGGACATATGGTGACTCTCTGAACTACTTTTGTACTATAAAAACTTTAAAAATTTGTTGCTAAAAAGTAAAGTCTGCTTTTTAAAAACATACATTAGAAGATAGGTACAGAGGCACGTAGCTATAGTGCTGGCACTTGAGTGGCTGAGGCAGGACTGTAATGTAAGTCCTGCCCGGACAATTTAGTGCGACTCTATCTCAAAATAAAAAAGGGCTAGGATCTAGCTCTGTATGAAAGGCCTGGGTTCAATCCCCAGTACCATTAAAAAATAAAAAAAGCTCTTATTTAACATTACCGATTATCAATTAATTATAAAGACAGTCAAAACTGGAACTTATTCCCTCTAATTCAGAAAGGTCACTTACAAAGAAAAACTTTGAAAATTCCACAATATAGCTTGTCTATAAATTTTAAACATAAAATTTAACATGTGTTTTTCAACCTACCATTTTTTTCTCCCATCTTTTGGTGTTGCTTATAGATATAAAATTCTTCAAAATTAAGTTTATCAAGACTGAATGATATGAATCACTCTGATGAGAATATAACTGGAATCCAACAATTATCTTCAAAATCTGCAGTCCTCAGCAAAATAAATCATTATGCCATTACAATATTCTTTGATACTTGAATTTTCAAAGAGAAACTGTGGTTGAAGAAACTTTCAGACAGACTAATAGTCCCAACAAAAGTTTGGTCTATGCATCTTCATCCAGTGAGTAATTATAGCTGTATCACATCACAGTATCTTTTTAAAACCAACTCCATCTTTTGGTCCACAACTGCATGAGACATTCTGTAAGAAAAACAATAAAGAATGATACATATTTGTAAAGCACAAAACATATATGGAAAAAGATGTAGTTATAACAACAACTCTATCTTTTAAAACAGCATGAATCATTACAAAAAGAATACAAATTAACTAGAAAAATGTGCAAAATATCAAAATTACCAATAATTAAGAATTAGCTCATATACACCCATAATTCTGTCACCCATATTTAACATACTTGTTAATTAACACTTATACTATTAATCAACAATTAAACAATTCCTATATTATAAATACTTAAAAACCTTCTAAATAGGGATAATAATGCTACCTTGTAAGCTGTGGTGAGGATAAGACTTAACTATTTAGAATAGTGCCTGACAGATGTAAAGAATTCAACAAATGTTAGCAATTAATATTCTTTCAGGATATAATTTCAAAACAAAATTTGAATTTTAGTGTATATAAATTTTCATACTCTTTCACCAATAACATTCTGCACTTTCCTTCATTAGTATTTTTATATGACTAACTGGCTACATAATATACTTTGGGCAATAATCCACACACTAAAGATTTTATAAATAAATTTTAATAAATTAATGAGCATATCAATAAACTCCTATATTGGACATTTAGATTATTTTAATTTTTGAGATTATTTTTCAGTATAATGAATCTTGAATAAAGATCTTTTATGCATATCTGATTATTTCCTTAAGATATACATCTAGTGGCAGAAAAGTCAGAAAGGAATAAAAACCCTCCATCTCATGATATAAGTCACCATGTGGTAAGTTCTACCATTTCCACACCAATCCATAAAAATATCAGAAGACTTTTAAAATATATATGGTCATAGTGAACATAAAAACACCCTATGTACAAAGTCTGTGAAGTCTGTCTGGGAAAAGTAAGAACATGAGAAGCTACAAATATAATGCCAACCATAATAATAACAAAAAAGGATGGGCAGGAAACCACACAAAGGAGACAAACGCACAACGAAGAGTACCTGAAATCTAAAGAAAGTACAATATGAAAATGAAACCTAACAAGCTTATCAGATTGATGAGCTTTTTTTTTTTGGTTTTTCTCCGGTACCGGGAACTGAACTCACGACCTTGCGCTTGCCAGGCAGGCACTTTGCTGCTGAGCTAAATCCCCAGCCCCTGATGCGCTTTAATAAGAGGAAAATAGAGAATCCTGAAAAGAATTTTAAATAAATATATTTGATATCCTCCAAGATATAAAGAAGGAAACCACAGCCGTAAAAAATGTACAATTCCAAAAAATAAGCAATTAAACATGGACTGTCCTGAAGAAAGAACCACATAACTAAAAGATTGGTAACCTGGAAGATTGAGTTTAGTAATTCTTGAAGAATGCAGAGCAAAGAAATAAGAGGAAATATAAAAGAGATGAACAAATCATGATCAAAAATATCTCAGAACTGGAAAACACATAAGCCCTCAGAGTCCAAGCGGATTAATACATATCACTGGACAATCTGTGATGAACTTCAAAATACTAAAAATAAGGAGAGTCTTTCAAACTTCAAGAAAAACCTGTATCATCTAAAAAGAACATGTATCAGACTGGTAATGAAGCTTCTTACCAGAAATGCCAAATGCAAAATGATAAAGAAAAATAAGTATGAACCCAGGATTCTACTTCTAGCCAAGGTGTCTTCTGATACTATAAAACAAGACTTCTACAGATACTCAAAGAGCCACCCAGAAAGAGACAGAAATATGATAAGTACTTCATGAAGAAAATTATCCAGTGTGTGGTGGGGCATGGTGGCAAATGCCCATAATCCCAGTAATCTAGGAGGCTGAGGCAAGAAGACTGCAAATTCAAACCCAGCCTAGACAATTTAGAAATGTATAGAAACCATTCAATTAGGAAGTTGGGAAGGGGAGGGGGTGCATGCCTATAATTGCAGCACTTTGGGAAGCTGAGACAGGAGGATCCAAAGTTCAAGTCTATCCAGGGCAAGGCAGCAAGATCTGAGGGGCTGGGAGTCCTGGGGCCCTGGATTCAATCCTCAGTACTGAAAAAAAAAAAAGGAAAGAAACTGGGAAAAGACAACAAAATAACAAATGAAAGATATGAGGCTGGGGATGTAGCTCAGTGGCATAAGTGCTCGCCTGGCAACCCTGAGGTCATGAGTTTGATTCCCGCTACCAAGAAAAGGAAAGATATGACATTTTAAATATTTTAAGGTTCAAACAGTTTTATAGCAATGCCTAAATAAACTAAACAATTTTCTAGGAAAATACAAACCACTGAGTAGTCTCAAGAAATAAAAATCCCAAGATGATGAATTAAGTATATAAAAAAATTAGAACAATAAAGATTTACCAGAGGGACATGTCAATACATCTCACCTCTCACTCCCTGTATACCAACCAACTCCATTAAGTTTTAAAGACCAATTGTATACAAAACTTAAAGGAATGTGTAATTTCTATTAAAATTATATACAATACACACATATAGAACTTAAAGAAAAACAGATTTAAAAAAAAAATTATACAAACTTATATAAACACAAACTATTACAGAGCAGGAAAAATAAAGAGAAGCTAATCATCTCTTTCTTCAAGATTAGTATAACCTTGGCACACAAGAAAAAAAACCTCAAGGGCAAAGTTACTTCTGATTATAGATGCAAAAATATTTCAATTATCTAGCAGTAGTATCTAAGTAGGGTTATCCCAGGAATACCCAAAAAGTTTGGTGATATGAACCGCCATATTAACAGAAGAATTGGTGGAAAGCTGTGACTTAAAACAAGTCAGTAGAAGTTAATCACTACACTTGGGAGAAGAGACAACACTTAGGAAACTAGGACTAAAAAACAACTTGCTTAGTTTGATATGGGCTAGCTATAGAAACCTCACACTGAAATTAATTAAGTAAACAATGAAACATTAGAAGCATTTTCATTAGTCAGGAATAAGATGAGGACAATCGTCATCACTGCTGTTATTCAATATCGAGCTGTTAGTCTTGGAGAAATACAGTAAAGATTTAAAAAGAGGGCTAAAAATTCAATGAGAAAAATTTGTAGAATAAAACAAAAAGTAAAGTCGAAAGCCATGCAAGAGATTAAGTCTAAAAAAGTAAAAATAAAAATTAAAAAAAAAGATTAAGTTTAACATATTTAAGCAATAGCAACAGAAAAGGGACATAACCACACTGAACAGATTTTTAAAATTACATAGGATACACAAGTAAAGAACGTAAATTAGATAACCAAAGAGAAAAACAGGTTTTTAAAAGAAATTGCAGAAATTTATATACATTATCAGTTAGTAAGTATATGCCAAACTTAAAGAGAAAAATTTTGAATTCAGCCATCAAATGGGCGAAACCAAAAACAATTTTTGGATGTTAGTGTAGTACTTTACTTTAAAGAAACCCTTAGGCCGGCCCGGGCATGGTGGCGCACGCCTGTAATCCCAGCACTCTGGACGCTCTGAGTTCAAGGCCAGCCTGCGCTACAAGGCCAGCCTGAACTGCATAGCAAGACCCTGTCTCAAAAAGACAAAAAACAAAACAAAACAAAAACCTCTCGTAAGCGTCATTCATATTTTCTGAGATTTGAAAGGTAAAACATATTTAATGAAGAAAATTTGCAAAATACAGCAAAGCATAAAGAAAATGTAAATCATTCACAAACATCGTACAGAGGCAGAAAATGCTAATATTTCAGAGTAACTGGAATTTCCAAATTCGTTTTTTCTTTCTCAATTCAATTTGCAAGAGAAATAATTCAGTATGCTTCGTTTCAATTTTCGGCTCCTTTTTGGTTTAAAAAATAGGATAAGATATCTTGACCATTTTGTTTCAGTTGCATCCTTTAGCCATAACAGTAGTGAATATTTACTGCGTAAAAATCACTCATGTGTTCGTATTTAATTCCTACAGCAGTCTTGTGGGGAAAACGGGATTTCTGATGAGGAAGGTACGGAACGTCACACTGTACGCAGCAGACACAAACCTCGCGGCTCGGTTCCGAAAGTGTCTTGACCCCTCCAGCCCCGCTTCCAGAGCCGCCGCTCCCCGCCCGACCTCCCCGACAGTCACGGAACTCCCTGCAGGCTGCACACGCCAAGGAGCGGGGACTACACACGCGTCCGCGTGTTAATCACTTGCTGGGGTGTGGGTAACGCGAGCCGGGCGCTCTGACGACCTCATTTCAACTCCAGATCGTGGGTGAACGACTTCACTTCCGTAGCGCTCGTGGATCTTACCTATAGGCGGCGTCAGTGGCTAACGCGTCAAGCCGGCTTCCCGAGCTGACACCGCAGTCCATCTCCTGCAGTGCCCTCCGCAGCTTCGGGATCCCTCCCCGCGGCTCCGGAACCACCAGAGAACCGAGCAGGGGCTGCGAGCTCCGGGCGGCTCCTCCAGCCCCGGACCCCGAGGGAGCGCGAGGAGGGAAGCTGCCCCGGCAGGCGCGCGGCCCGTGCTTGCGCCGTCCAGGGCCCCGCGGCGCCCCCAGATCCTCCCAATCCCCGGCTTCCGGCACCCTCGAGGAACCCGAGTCGGCAACACTGACTCCACACGGTTTCCGCGCCGCCCGCCACACCTGAGGGCGGCGCTCCGTCCGCTCCGTTGACGACGCTGACTTTGCCGGCGCCGCAGACCTCAGGCCGCACGTGCCCTCTGGCCCGGAAGTACTTCACCACTGACTAGCCATCACCTCAGCCCGGGAGGGGGAAGCACACCACTGCCCCCTCCAGGCTCCCCAGAGATATGACCACTAACTGGAAGGAGTCAGACGGCCAAGACCCGCACCCCGACTTGGAGCCCAGTAGTAACACTTCCCAGTCCAGCCACACCTCACCTCCTCTCCCGCCGGGTACCAGGCACAGCCGTAGCGTCCCGAGCGCGCCACGTCCTGATTGGTTGCCAGTGCTCTCATCTTGTCTCGCGTTCTTTAGATGGGCCAATCGGGTTACTCGTAGTCTAGAGGCCAGCTTCGCTGGAGCGGTGGCACAGTTGTTTCCTTCGGTAGGTGTGTTGCTGCCATCTTGTGTGTGGCTTGGGCTTCTTTGGGGATTGAAAACATGTGCAGCGGCTAGTACTTGTGAAGGAGACCTAGGGGAGGAGAGAGGTACAGGAGGAACCAGGGGGAGGAGATACCGCGCCTTTTCACTTACCCGTAAAGACGAGTCTCCTGGGCCTGAGCTTCATCCCTGGCTATGGAGAGCCAGGCGGTGGTGGTTGTGGTCATCCCGACTTCGGTTTGTTGGTCGTTGTGGAGTTTGAAGGGGCCTTTGATGCTTCACGCTTGATTCTGTGGTTCCTGGCGGCTGTTTCAGTAATCTGTCTCCGAAAGCGTCTGTCAACCTCCTTTATTGATAGCGTAGGCTGGCTGATGGGCCCAAGATTCAGAAAGGAATCAAAGCTAGTAACGGAAGGGGAGAGGGGGAGATACCTCCCCGACCATCCTCTAGTTTGAAAGAAACCTGTTCATTTTTTTGTCGTTTGCCGGGAAGAAGCTGTTTGCTCTCGGGAGTTGCCTTCTGACTAAGGCCATCCTTTGGTATTAATGGGTGTCTGGTTCTGCGTTTGAGCCGTTTTATTCATTAGTATGCCCCCAGCATTCCTGCAGTGGTCTTTTTATTCTAAGATTAAAAAGTGGTACAGAAGTGAAGGAAGAATTTCGTCAAATTTTGTTTTCCCTGATTTTGCTGTGTTTGTTGTAAGATGTATGAGTCTCTGGATCTGCTGTTGCCATGCTTGGTTGCTTCTTCTGGAGGCTCTTGTAGGGGAAAACATCTTAACTCGTGAGTTCTTGCTAGATAGGAGGAAAGAGACAAGAATTATCTCGGGTTTTGTTTGCTTCTTTACATCAAAGTAGAAGGTACACATCATCCTTCGTTTGGGAGGAAAATTTATTGGATCTGAAACCAAGTCAATGAAAAAGTATTGTTTTGTGAGCTGGAGGATTGACAGTTCAAAGCCTGTGAGTTCTGTAGTGCTAGACAAGTTTGAACTACACAGCAAGGCTCTTATCTCAAACAAAATAAATAAAAACTAAATAATAAAATTACGTTTTAAATTTTTTTATTCATCAATCTTGTAAAACCTAAGTTGCAAGAATTCAAATATCAGTAATTTATTGCTGAATTGATGACTAAAGTTCATGTTAATACAAGATATGAGGTGAATGAATGGGTAAGAAACACCAATAACTGGTTGTAGCTCAGTGAAACAGTTAATTCTGTACAAATGGAGCTCACGGTTTCATGAAGTTGTTAACCAAAAAGAAAAAGAGTTTTAGTGGAAAGAAAAAGAAGAGGTCTTGGTAGATGTTTATCATGAGGGGATTCTGAATGGAAGTCCAAATTGTATTGCTTTCTCCCTTTAATAACTGAAAAACCAAATTATGTATACTTCTTTTAATTTTTTTTAATTTATTTAGATGCTGAAGATTAAACCCAGTGCCTCCAGCATACTAAATCCAGACTCTTAGAGTGAACTGCACCCCTACTCTATAAAATTACTTTTAAGTGTAGAAATACCTTTTTGTGGATTATAATAATTTTTATCATATGAAATGTCATTTGGGGGGGAACATTCTGAGATGAATTTCCAGAAATATCCTTATCATCCTCTTTAGTCCATTTCATCATCACCTTTCTGGTATTTAACTAATACATTCTGTTATGGGGATAAATTGAATAAGAAAAATTTGACTAAAAAGAAAGATTTAAAATTGAAAAGATCAAAATGACCACTGCAGTTTTTTATTCATCTGATCAATGAAATTGATTGAATACCTGAATCAGGAGGATTTCCATTTATCACTGACAGTGGGGCTGGGGATGTAGCTCAGTGGCATAAGCACCTGCCTAGCAATTGCAAGGTCCTGAGTTTGGTTCCCAGTACCAAAAAAAGAAAAAAAAAAAATCACTGACAGTATGTGTTAGGTAAATACAGTATAACATTCAAATTGTTTCACTTAAAAGGGAAAAAACCCATTTAAAGTACTGTCTTAGTTACTTTCTCATTGCTGGGACAAAATATACAACATCCACAAATTAAAGCAAGAAAAGGTTTATTTTGGCTCGCAGTTTCAGTCCATTGTCCACTAGTTCAAAGGTAGGGCAACATGGCAGAAGAAAAATAGTTCATGGCATGGCAGGTAGGAGGCCAGGTATAGTCAACACAGGAAGAAGGATACATATCCTCCATGCCCACAATCACCCGTCTCCCACCAGGCTTTACCACCCAGCGTACACCTAGATATCAACCTATTAGTGGACTAATCCAGTACTACATGATCCAGTACCATACACCCATTATCCAGTCACCTCCCAAATGCCCCACTTATAAGAATACACAAGACTGGGTGGGGGATATCTAAATATAAGGCATAACATTCCACCCCTGGCCCTCAAAAGACTGATATACATCCTTTATGCAAAATACATTTAGACAATTCTGAGAGCTGCTAAAGCCCTAACAGTTTCAGAATTGCTGAACAGTCCAAGCCCAAAGTCTCTGAGATTTAAGGCAAACTCTTAGATCTGAGGCCCCTTGCAAATTAAAAGGAAGGTAAACGCTTCCAACATACAATGGCACAAGATAAACATTCTCATTCCCAAAGGGTGAAATAGGGGGATAGAAAGGAATGGGACCAAAGCAAGGCCAAAATCCAGTAGGGCAAACCTTAAATCCCATAGGTCCAAGTCCAACACCTGGGACAATCAGTGGCAAGATATGAACTCCAAAGGGTTTAAGTGGCTCCACCCCTGTGGACTTGCTGATGGTGAATCCCTCATGAGGTCTTTGTTTGGCCAGGTTTGTTCACTCCTAGTGACTTTCTTCAAGCAATCCATATTGCTGACTTCTCCAACTTTCTGGGGTCTCCACTGAACCATCAGCTTCACTCTCACAGCTTGACACACTGCCCTGTGAAGAACATACTACCAGACCTCCCAGGCCGTCTTCTGAAATCTGTAAAAGCCTTCCTTACCTGACAACTCTTGCATTCTGCATGCATATAAAACCAGCACCACATGGATGACACCAGTTTTCCACCAAGTGGAGCAGTAGCAGAGCCCTTTTGCATCTTGCTGGTAGTTGCAGAGGCCTCTAAGTGCCTGGAGCACTGTGAACCCAATCCTGAGGAAAAACTTGCCTACACTGGTACCATTGTGTAACATCATGCCCTGTTGCTCACTTCTCAAAGCAAGTCTTTCACTTTTGCAGTTTGAGGCTGCAGAGGGTGGAGTCCTGCAGGTTTGAGTTAAGACCCCAGGCGATGTTTTCTATTGTTCTGTTACAAAGTATAGTACTTGGCTTTTTTTTGAGACAGGGGTCTCACTGTGCAGTTCAGGCTGGCCTTGAGCTCACTTTGTAGCCCAGGCTGGCCTCCTGAGTGCTGGGATTACAGGTGTGTGACATCATGCCTGGCTAGCACTTACTTTTTAATGCTAATTCCTTCAGCAACCAAGTTCTGCTCTGCTCCATTGGCAGGCCATAACTTCACTGAAGCTTCCTTTGTCACCAAACTCAAAGTTTTAAAATCATTCTGCTGATTTAAATTTAAAACCATTCTCAAACTTTTAAAATCGTTTGCCCTTGATTCTCAAGGTACAGCTGGCTGAGAGACCCAACAGTAGCAATGCCACCACAGCAATGTTAGACTACCTTGAAATTTTTCTGCAGGATTAGTCTGTTGTCCTTTTTCAGTCTCCCACAATGTCTTTAGACGTAAGCAAAATGCAGACAAATTTTTCTGCCAAGCGTAGCCTGCAGTCTAACTGCCAATGCAGTCCTTGTTCGCAACTGAAACCTCTAGAACCTGGTCTTCATCAGCTGCATTTCTATCATCATTCTGGTCTTCCAACCTGAACAGAACTGTACTTCTCTGCTACTGAACTCTGTCTTAATTACTTTCTTATTGCTGGGGTAAAGTACCCAACACCCACAAGTTAAAGTAAGGAAAGGTTTATTTTGGCTCACAGTTTGTGGAGGTTTCAGTCCAATAGTCAGCTAGTTCCAATGCAGGGCAGCATGGCAGAGGGCATGGATGAGGAGAAATAGCTTATGGTGTGGCAGGTAGATAGTCCCCTTCCCACCTTTTTCTTTTTTTTTAAAGAGTAGAGGGATCCTTTTCTAGATAAACCTGTAACTTCTCCATTTGTAATCTCATTTGGTCCTGTTGCTTAAATTAACATTTTTATGCAGCTTGAACTCCATTTGTATACAACTCTTCTCTCTCCTGTTTCCTGTCATGATTATTGGTATAGGCATTTTCTTTCTTTCTTTTTTTTTTTTTTTTTTTTTTGATATAGGCATTTTCTGTGTGGCTGAGATTTAAACCAAATTCTCATGTCTCCTTTCTGCTCAGATGAGTTACCTGTTGTTTCACTCTCCAAAATGGCTTTCCTATTCATTTTTCTGCACATATCTCCAGATGGGTTCTGAAAAGCTCCGCCCGAGGGGACATGGGATCTCCCTGGACAGGTTCTTGAGGTGTTATTGATAAAAATCATTTCAGGAAACTTCGTGGAGGGATAGGCTGTTTTATTAGAGTTAGAAAGTAAGAGAAAATGGGACCTCTGTTATCAATGACGCACAAGAAACCTCTCAGACACAGGCTTTATATAAGCTAAAGACTGGATTTATTCTGTCTGGTTGCAGACAGGCTGAGATCATGAATGATTTTGGCAGCTGGCCAGAGAAGTTAAATTTTTATAGGGCTTGGGGATGGGGTTATAATCGCAAGGAATGTTTGGGGTCAGAATTCCCAGGATGGTCAGTGCAGGTATGTAGATAGTACTGAAATTCCCAGTGCCTGGGACATTGTATGTCCTGTCCTAT